CTGCGGGGATTTCCAGTATCCAGCAGCTGTGGAAGAATAACTAGAAGAAAAGCTGGTGGCATTTTCCCACAGTGGATATGCAGGTATTCTGGGAATCCTGCATTTTGAGAAATTGTCTCATTTATTGCTCTTTAACTGCCCACATGAGCCACATGGGATCAGCAAGCCCAATCCATGAAGGCTTCAATGAACTTACTGAATGTGTGCAGAAATAACTGCAGTGCCATGCAGCAAATCTGAGTCTTGCTGCATTGCAATTGCAGAACGTGACATCAGTTTCTGTTGCAGAAGCGTAAATAGCAATATATGGCCTCAAACTAAAAAATGCAATTTTAAACTTGAGCTTTCTTAGCTGGGTGACACAAAGAGCTTAAGTCCTGGTTTAACTTTCAACATATGCTTCTGTGCTCCAGGAAGTGATGTGTTTTCTGTTCCTGTGCAAGCTATTAATATGTGATTCTGTGTAGGTCTGCTGTGCCTGAACCACAGAAAACTTTTAACACATTCTCTTTGTTTTGAAAGGAAAGCCCTCACGTGGTATGTTAAATATTGATATAAATTACTTCTCAAGTCATTTAATAGTAATTTATACTGCTAGTGGCACATCTTGAACATAGTATTTGTATTAATATACATTTTAGAAAAAAAAGCCTTAATGTGTAAAGATAATGATACTGGTAGCCAGTGTGGGACACCAACAACAGTGGATTCTGTTGGAGCAGGAGCAAACCTCCCACTCTTGTTACAACGTAGTCAGAGTTTATTTGTATTTGTTACTTTTTTTGTCATCTTACAGCTATAATTTTGTCAGCAATTTTCTTTTGTCTTTTTCATTCTACAGTTACAATTTTTTTTCTGTAATTTTCTTTTGTTTTAAAAGATACTGAAAGCAGACAGACACATATCTAAAAGACAACTACAGAATTAGGTAAAATAATCTCTGTTACTTTTACTGCAAAATGTAGTTCTCTGTGGTGAATATGAAAACAAGAGTTGTGCCTTCTGAGCCAGGTTTATGAAGTGATGTGAGATGATAGATTTTTACTACTTTAGAAGTCTGGGTTATATGAAGTGATGCTCAGATACAGGCCTCCTTTTGCCAGCCCCAGCATTAAAAGCCACACTGGCTTCCACGTACTGTGCTGTGGAGTGGTCTCTGGTCAGCAAATGCTACTTTCCACTATGGCAGAAAATTGGACAAACTCAAAGTTTTTGAGTTCTTCCACAGCACATGGCTGGATATCACTATCCTCCTATCTTCCTGTATCTTCCTATCCTCCTATCTCCTCCTATCTTCCTATCTATCACTATCCTTCCTATCTTCCACAGCACATAACTTCCTTGATAGTTGTGTGACTATTCGAGTGTACTGAGTTTCCTCATAGCTACTAAGTCCATCAGCAAAATGACAGTAATGGAATTGTGATTCCACCACAGAATGTGATTTTTCAAATCCATTTTAAACCTTACACTGCAGAGGTCCTATTTATTATGCTGAAATGAGGATTATTCAGAAAAATCATAATTTCACATTCTTAAATCCATCTTTGCATATCTGTTGAAAACCCTGCAGTGCTAATACAAATGATATTTCACATAGATATCACAGACAATATCACGCTACTGTGGCTTTAGCAACAATTTAGTGGTAATATGCCTTACTGGGTCTATGTCTTAGTGATAACAGGCTTAGTGATAACATGTAATTAAGTTCCACAACAGTGTATGTGTGGGGTTTAATGTACCTATTTCTAAAATAAGTTGTCCCTAGACCATTTTCAGTACAAACCATTATATTTCAGTGGCATTTCCCTTTTTAAAAGGAGCTAGTGGAAAAGCAAAGCTGTGCCTGCATGCACCTGCATCACACAAGCTGTGGTTTGCAGAGGCATTGCCAATTTCCTCTGCCTGACATTGCATGGAAACATTAAATTCTCTCTGGAGCAGAAAGACCTAAGTGAGGTTTGTGGATCAATACTACTGATACTAGCAATATTCCAGTTCAGCACTATTTTGACAGTAGAAATTAATGTTTCTCTTCTTACATTCAGGCCTATGTTCTCATCTCAGTGTGCAAGGGTTTATGAGCCTAATTGAAACCTACTGAAATGAAAAGAGATTGTTCCTTTTAATGAAATGTGTTTCTGCTCAGTCCAAATGTTTATTAATGATATTTACAGTGTTAGGCATCAGCTTTTGTACTTTTGTATTTTTGGGGGTAAAAATAAACATTACTGGCTAATTTTTTACAGTTCTTTGTGTAAGTCTTGAACTTCTGTGTTAGTCTAAACATGGACTGATGATCAGAATCTGTACACATACCACACAAACCTGTCAGCATTTGCACAAAGTCTTAGTTACTATCAGCCAAGCTAACTAACATGCATTGCTGAAAAATAAGTCACACTGTTTCTGAGGTATTTCTAAATGCTAAATTCATGAAACACAACAAAAATACAGCGAACTGGGAGTTTTTTGTCTTTCTTTGTAGTATAAAAGGCCACAAACTATGATGGCCAGAAAAAAAATGAATGAAACAAACCTCAAAATCTCAGTTCATATGAATGCAAAGTCATATGGACCACACACTGTAAATTCAAGCCTCTGTAGACAGTTACCTTTGGGAAAGTGGATTTCTGACCTTAGTACCACTTCATGTCCACAAGGCATTTGAAAGATCACAGCAGATGTACCTCTTGGCTTTCCAAGGGCATCAGAGTTTGCACCATGTTTTGTAAGTCCTAGCAGCCTAATGGTGGCTTTCAGGATCCTCTTTCCTCACTAATATGAATTTTCTCCCTGTACTGAATCTTAACTCTTGTATATTGTTTTTTGTTCAGTGTGCACTCCGTGTCATCTCTCTGAACAGGATATTCTGGGCATTTCTTCATTGCACATAGCTTAAGGCAGGCTAGATTTAGACATTCACATTAATTCTGTTCTGGCTCTTTGAGTGACATTTTTAATTTAAAATAATTTATCCAGCTTTCACATAAACAGTAAATACAGTTTTTGATGCTGCCCAACCTAAAAGCTGAACCTTATACAACAATTATCAGGAAAAAAGAGTCAGGCAGCTTTTCAAAATGAACCAAATATTTCTAAGGATGAGGTACCACCAATAAAAACATTTTCTCAAGCTCAAATGTTGTAGTAGTACCTGAGTGATAATGCATGATGACAGAGCTTTTTCACTTTTCATGTTAAAACCACTAGTTACTAATACATAGTTGCCTTCAGCAAGGCAATTGCTTCTGTCCTTCTTTGAAAAAGCCACCTAAATCATTTCATGTAATTTTGCTTACCTTCTCACTGTTCCCTTGGCAATACATCATGTTTGTGCCCATGAAGCAATCCCACACTTGGGTTAGCAGTAACCAAGGGGAAGAGAATGCAGATAAAATTGCCCCAGTGCTGAGATTTTTCAGGTTTAGTTTAAAACACCACATTAAGCTCTGGAGATAACCAAACCTGAGGTGAGCTCACTGGCTGTGGGAGCCTGAGGCATGCACCCTGCAAGCACCACTGACCTGCCTTTTAGTTTACCACCATCTGCTCTGTGTGAGCTTCCAGCCTGAGTGAGCTTTCTGCCTCCTCCTCCTCAGCCTTCATTATAATGCTACCCCCAATACCCTTTCTGTCTTCCTTTCCAAGTTAATCCTGGACATTTTTCTCACCATCCTCCACACCTCTACAAAACACTCACTTGAGCCAACAGGGCAGTACCCTGCTTTTTCATTCCACTCTCTCCCTGGCAAGGACTCAGAACTGGCAACTCTTTAATTGAAATGCCAAAAAGAACTCTGGCTTAAAATAAATGGTCACAGGATCTTGTTTATCTTGTGTGAACCATTTCACCTGAGTCTGATACGACAGTGTGGAGTGTGACTTCTTTAGGACACGAAGCATATAGCAGGCTGAAGCAGCAAGCACATGCCTTGGTGGTGTTAAATCATAAATTAAACAGCAGCAGCAGGCACTTCTTCTCAGCATAAAAAGCAGAAGCTTCCCTGTAGCTCATTTAAATCCTCTCGTTAGAGGCAAACTGTCTCAATTAGGATCCTGAAATCTGCTTTACTTCGGGGAGTACAGCTCTTCAGCTGAGCTCAGAAATGAGTCCGGCAGCGCAGTTCCCCTGCGGCAGTAATCTCCAGAGCAGGCACAGCATGAAAAGCATTGCCTGCCTGTCTGCCTTAAGATTAATTTCCCCCCATTTCACTGGAGTTCTTCAGCACCACTGGCACTTGTGCATTCAGCCCTGGGGCAGGCAAGAGAACTGCTGTACCACCAACGTGTGAAGTACTTAGAAAAATGGTTTGAAAAAGCCAAGGGGTAAAATCAGCATCCTATTCCTCTGTGAAGTCAACCATTTTCAGCCTGCCTGTTTTGACAGTCCTGAAACACTGCGCCTTGCTGCTGTGTTTGATGCAGGTGGTAGTGTGGATGAGAAAGCAGGGTAGACGCAGGAAAGTGCCCACAAGCCTGACATTAGGAGCATCAAATCTGTGAGTGCAAAGGTAAAAACCAATGATGGAAAAAGAGTGATCCACACAAGTTGCTGGTAATTTGTCTGTTCTTTAAGGTCCCAGGTGGCAACACCATCAAAACCACTTAAGCAACAAATTGAGGTTGAAAAACATAGAGGAAGACTTTTACCACTACTCTTAAGTTTCCTCATACACGTGTTTCCTGAGTAGATATTCACAGGCACAGATACTTTCTGACACAGGTTACTGTCTATTAGTCTGCTGTGTGCAGGTAGGTGTTGTAAACTCACACTTTGTATGACTGATATGAAGACCAAGCTGGGACATACCATTTTATAAACGTGGAGGTTTCTAAGTTTCCAAGTTTTCTTAACTTGTGCATTTAAAGAGTTGGCAAACAATAACATAAAATATATTAACCAGCAGAATGTTTCAGTTGTTGAAATCTTTGCACAGTTTTCAAACATCACCTTTGACTGTCCTGGCAAATGATGAAATGATGACTTTCATACATATTGCAGTGAGAAATGCATTTATTTCATACACAGGCTCATCATACACTTTAAAAAGACAGCTAGCAGTATCATTATTTTCACAGGGAAAATACATTTCCCCTGCTTCGTGCTTATATCTAACAACACTTGTTTATCCCCTTAAAAGTACTGCTGTGTATAGCACTAGGTGCTTCTCCATCTGAAGGACATGATTTTCTTGCCAGGCTCAGGGTGATTATGTGGCCGAGCACTAACTACAATAACTGATGATGTTGGGGAGAGCTGTGTGTGTAGCATTCATCAGTGAAGACTGGACATCCCGCCCTGGCACCTCTCTTCCCTTCCCTCTCCCCTGACACTAAGTGTCAGCTTTCCTGAGAGTGTGAAGGAGGGGATTAGCTGTGCTTCACGAACTCCGGCAGCTCCATCCCTGTGCACAGAGTAAGCACTCCAGCCTTCTCTAGGGCAAAGGCTGGGTGAGCAGCATCAGTGAATTTGTGCCTGACGGTGAACAGCACGAGTCCTCTCTCTGCATTGAAGAATAACAGTCTGCTGCCCCTGTAATCCAACAGGATGCCAATCCTGGCTGGGTGTTCTGTCACACGAACATCGCTCATCACACCACTGTGAAGAAATCTATAAAGAAAGCTGTGGGCAAATGGAAACCAGAGTACGGTGAACGTCTTCATGGCAATTTACCAGAAATAACCTACATCTTAATTCCCACCTATTAACAGGTGGCCACATAAAGCAGCCTATCATATGGCAACAGTATTCTATTCAGTATGTAAGCAAAGAAAAAGCAGCATTGCTTCAGAGCCCTGCCTGCCGTTTCACTGGGCACCTTTGGACTCTTAGGGTAACAGCAGACTTCCTGTAGTCATATTCATCTATTACATATCTTTGTGGGGATTTAAACATGAACTCTGCTTTGGCAAAACCTTTTGTATCTCAGATGTTTCATTTAGCTAGTTATGTTCATGCATCTATATGATCTCATACTAAAAAAGAACCACTTATTTTGAATCAAGAGCATCTTTACACAATTAACAGGGTTATGTCTCACAAACCTCCGAGCAGGCACTGGCCCAATGAAGACTACCTACACCACAGCCGTGGTCCTGCAGTCCTGCCACAGTGACTGCTGAGTGCCTATCACTGTGCAGAACAAGGCAAGAGAAGGCATTCCCTGTGGAGGCTTGACATCTCCTGAAGATGGAAATAGATTCTAAAAGACTGCATTTATGGAAATAAATATACTTGTTAGGATTTTGTGAAGCAGTTCAGAATATGAACCTGGAATGACAAAGCAGTGGCAAATTAATTTTTTAAATTTTATTCACTGAATGGGTGAGGGGTGGTAAAGTGGTCTTTATTAATGTGGTCTAATTAATTTGAGATTAATTTTATTTTTTAAGTTACTTCATAAGATTTTTTTTTTTTTTTTTAATTAAGAGGAGGTATAAAGCTCCTTTCTAGTATCATAGAAATATAGAATGGTTAGGGTTGGAAAGGACCTTAAGATCACTAAGTTCCCCCCTGGCATGGGCAGGGACATCACACACTAAACCCAATGTCACCCAAATATCCTTTTCTTATTACCCAAATTTGCAGAAAGAAAGCAGAACAATCCTTTCTGCTCATGATTCTTGAAGCTGGCCAGCTTTATTTAAGTGAACAAGTAACTTCCCAAGCAGCTAGACTGACTTAGCTTTACCTGGTTTGTGTAGGACAGCACCGCATGCACCAAGAAATATCACTCATCCCCAGGATGCTGCTCTGCGATATTGCCTTGTAAGAAATCCCAATCCTGTACCTTCTGCAGCCAGAGACAATGATTTCCCAGTAATGATGTCCCTGAGCAGGCAGCAGCTCACCCAGGACTGAAGGAAACCTGTTTGTGGAAGGGGCATAGTAAAGTGAATGTTCTGGTGCACCAGCCATATTGGTTTGATATTTCTTTCAGTCACATCATGCAGCACCATCTAGAATTACTAGTGGATTTCACTGTGTTCTTCTGACTGCAGGGGTTTATGAAAGACTTGAATGTTGCCACTGAGAGTAATTTCATCTTTGTGCTGAGATGGACTCATCTTAAGGACTAAAACCATACAAATTAATCCAAAATTATATGAAACCAGGACCTGGCTTCATATAACTCAGGGTAAACTGTGACAAGCTAGCAAAAGGTGGAAAAGATGACTTTGGAGGCAAAAATGGATCTCAAATTTAGAAAGCTTGTTCAAATTAGAAAGCATGGTTATTTTAAGTAGACACAGTGACAAACATCTTGTGTGTGTTCAGCTGTAGCAGTAAAAATAGTTCATAAGCCAGTAATAACTCATTACCTTTTAAGAAGCCATATCAGCATTGCACAACTTACACAAGGGAACCTGTGCTTGTGATGGGACTGATATCAATATGTTAAGAAAAAAAAATTTAAAAAAATCCTGTTTGCAATGGATAGAGTTAGCATGGTACAACTCTTCTGAGCACATCCCAGGAGTATTTCCTAGTTCTACAAAGCCACAAATGCTTTTTACCAATAATGTCCTCACTAGAGGAGCAAAGCATGGAAGATGGATTACTTTCAGCCACAATATATTAAAAAACAAGCCCACAAATCTGGCCTTCTTGAGTCATCAACAAATTGCTTTGAGGCTGAACTGCTCTGCAGGATTAAGCAGTCACCACGGACTGAGGCAAACCCAGAAGTCCCAGGAGGTACCACTGCCTTTGACTTTCTGGGAACACTGAACTCTTCCCACCATCTACCTCAGTGCTACTGCTGGCTTTATCAAGATACTGCAGTGCTTGAAATGGGGGTCAATCGCATAAAGTCCAGGGGCTGCATGACTGGAACGATTCAGTTTTATAAAATTAGTTAGTGTTATATGAAAGCAATCTAAGGCAAAAATAAGAGTGAGGCACCCATCCTGAACCCCACAGGATGATCCTGCTTATCATGCTGCTACTTACCCAGTAAATTTGGCTTTTTCAGGAAGGCGGATCACTGTTGCATTAGAGGAGATTTGCAAAGCCGGATGGGCTGTGTTACTCAGCAGGCGAAATCGAGTTCCTGGAATCATTAGTGACAAAGAAACACCAGTTCTAAGAGGCTGGCCACGTTAATATGAGATGAATCATAAAATGAACAGTTATTGCCATCTTAGTAGGACAGAGTTGTGCCTGCTGGCAGGTAGGAGTGACAGAAAATTTGGTGCAAATGCAAGGTCTTCTAGGTTGTGCCTGATTGAGATGGCAGTCCAATATTCAGAAATGTAGCTATGTGATAGTTTTTCAGTATTTGAGAAGCTTGAATAACTCTCAATCAATTGCTTTTTCAAAATAGCAAATTTGAGTTTTGAGACTCATTTGGAGGAACTATACATGATTTAACACTATTTATCTGGAAGCCTTGAAGTTTAAATAATCCATTAAATTTTAAAACTGCTCTGCATGCTTCCTAATCCCTGAAACCTAACATCCATAAGGTTTTAATTCTGAGGTTTTTTTTAAGGTCATGGCATCTTTTATCAGAATGAACTCTGCAAAACTCAAGCAAACGGAGACCCCTGAAGAATATTTAATAACTTCATATTTCTGACAGAATTCAATATTTTTGCTAACCCTGGTCACATCAGTTGGTCAGAGGTCACATCAGTTTTACTTTGACATACATATACAAAAATTTCAACTGAAGTAGTCCCTAACTGTGCTAATTTTAAGTAGATGAAGTACAGTCGCTTTTATCTTAACTTGCTCACTCCCATATCAAAAAGTTCAGGTATGGCTTCTGGAGGAAAACTCCATCTTTGGGTGCTTTGCCCCTCCATCCCATTGTTTTTGTATCCTATCAGCAAATGGTGATCTACCTTTAGTTGAAATGAGAGCTGCTTCACTTTGTTCGCTTGTTCCAAATGGGTTGACAGCTCTCAAGTAGAAGAAATAGTTCACATTGGGCTCCAGGGATACTTTCAGTTCAGGCCTCTTTATTCCAGCAAAAGATCTGCAAATTTTGAAGATTTTCATACATGAAAATGTATCATATATCCAAACCAGGAAAGACTAATTTGTGCACAGAGCTAGGACACCTAATGCTATCGCTGACTACCGAAACAACAGGCACCACAGAAAAACTCCAAATCAGAAAAGCAAACACTTTTTTTCACAAACAAGTAGGTTAAGCAGGAGCTTTGGCATTTTAACTGGGGGATCCTCCTTACTTTGCCTGACAAATTTTCAGGCCTTTGTTCCTGTACCACATTCTCACTCAGTGCAGTCATTTTGTGTAATACTCATTTTATGGTCATTTTGCGTAATACTCACTTTATGTTCATTTTGCGGTGTAAATCATCACATAAAATGCAAGCAGCACAGAACCAAATTCTCAACTGTCTCCTGTGAAAAATCTACTTTACAAAATGAACAGACTTCTAAAGAAAGAAAAGCCCTTTTCATTAATTCAGTTGCATGATAGTGAATGTACATGCTGTGTTTGCACTGTCTGGGCAAATGATCCAGATCCAAAACAATGGATACCCTTACCTGAAACCACGCAGAAACCTTGCTCTTGTTATTATGGACTCTCTGCTCACAAATTGTTCATCAACAAAGCCTCATCTCTGTCTCCCTTACAATACCATGCACTCTGACAGGCTGGTTTTGTAAGAGGCATCAGCAGGGGAACTGCTTCTGCACAGTGCCCTCCTTTGACAAAGTCTCCCCTTTGTGGTGCCTCAAAAGCTCCAGCCTCGCATCCTCAGCGCTGATGTCTTGACACGCTGCAGGAAAGCAAGAGTCAGCACCCACTCAAGTCTGCTTTACATGCGCTTTGAAGTGCCAGTGAAAGTACTTTGGATGACTAGAAAGATCCCAATTTTATTTTCTATATTGTCAGGAGTACGAAAGATTGGCTTAAAAAGTTCTCATATACTGGATCCTGACAGTATATACCCTCTGCATTGTATGCCTGCAGGTAAAGACTCTTTACCTATATAAAGCAGATAATTTCCTCTCAGAAATGCTTATAGAAATCTTCAAGGCACTTTTCACCTCAGGTTTGACAGAAGAGCCCAGGATGGCCACCCTCCTGCAGATAATGTCTCTAACAGAAACTAGATTAAACAAATTACCTTTTCCAGCACTAATTACTGTGACCCCAGAGAATGTAAGGCAGGCAAGTCAGCAGTCAGATCATATCCCTGCTATTCATTTGCAGTGACTGTTTTTCTGCATGTGTCCCACCAGAGAGCAGTACAATCTGAAGAATAATCAGTCCTCATCTATCAGGACTTTTCACATGCCTGCTTCTGCTGCATTTCTCACAGAAAAGGTAAAATCCCACAGCTCTACACACACCAAATTCCTGCTAACACTACATAGACCTCTATGACTAAGAGGATGGCATTGTGGGGAAATACTGGTGCATCATCCTTATTAGTCTGTAACAGGTATTCTTGTACTAACATCTGAGATTAAAATGATTGAAAGCATTGAGAAAAAGCACTGGGTTATCCTCTGATCTATCTTTTTCAATCTGAAATGATTTTGGAGAGTTTGGGGCTCTTGTGCCATCAGTGTGGGGCCATGCCACCTCTGGGGATGTGCTACATCAGTGCTGGGACTGATGTGGTAAAAACAAGTGGTTTATCTAAACACAGTAGCAATTGAAGGGTTTGCTTCACCTCCAAGACTAATGAAAGTCCTGACCATGAAAGAACTTCAGCAAGGCACTGGAAGTTTGGCAGGCTGGTTGGTTCTTACTGAAAGGTTCAGGGAAGAGGTGGAACCCGAGGAGCTGCCTGATGAGAACCTTTAGACTTGAAAGAGCAAAAAGGCTTGTCTGACTACAGGAGACAAGAGAAAAAAGAAAGATGAGTCACAAAGAAAAATGCAAGATGGGAACTGAGCAAGAAGGCCTATGTAACAGAAGTGAGAGAAAGGAAAACCGATGGAAGTAGAGGAAGGGGAAAACTGGGCACCTAGGCTTTGAAGAAATTTGTCTAGGCTTCGTAGACATTTCTCACCCAATCTGCTCCTTAAAGCACCATCCTGACATTTTTTTATGTGAATCTGAAGCACAGACCACCAGAAAGAAGTTTTGAGCAAATAGTTGCAAGTGAGATGGAGGGAGGATACACTAAGCTATTTGTCAGAAGCTGTTTGTGGGAACATGTAGATCAACATGTCTTAAGCACAATGATGCCATCCATATGGCTCTCTCTTCTGGAAAATGCTATGTAAGTCAGTATCTTCCCAAAGAAATTAGATCTTCTTTTTCACTATGTGCTTTCTAAGTGATTATTGACTAGTAAACCAAAAAAATCTTCTATAAATCCAACTAGACAGATACATTCTGGTGTAATAAGTAGAACTCAGGTATTCATATTCTGCAGTCTGGATATTAGAGATGATTTTGGGTCCAGCCAATTGCAGAATAGGGTCAGCTATCAAAGTTCAGACTTGGGTCTCTTTCAAGTCTGAAATTCTCCACATCAGAATTTGGTTTCATGTTTAAATCTGAGAGCAATAGCATGCCTCTTTTCAGTTGTAATAGTGAAACAGAAAAGTCTGGACATTAAGCAGACCTGGTCAGTAAAACAGTGATCAGATTTTTCAAATTGCATTCTCTGCTTGGTAATCTATTTTAGCAAGCTCTAAGCTGCCTAAGAATAAGAGACTATCAATTTTAGCTATGATTAAGGCTTAAAAAGCAGTCCTGCTGCTGCCAACTAATGAAACAGAATATGCCAACAAGAAGAAATTTCATCTGCTATACTCTGAGCCACACCCAAGCTCACAAGAGGCTGTGTGTGGAGAAGAAACAGGTCTTGCTATCTGTACCCTCTTTTTCTGTTTTGAGGATGGGGAGAAGGTGAAAGTGAATACTGAGAGCTCTTCAGCAGTCATTTTGGTTTGTCATGGTTCAGGCTGACCCTGCAATCAGTGTTAAAAAAACAAGGATGAGGAGAAAGTATGATTAGTGCTTAGCTTACAGCAAACAGGTCATGCGTAGGAGAAGGGAAGAGAAAATGCATCCTGAATGAGGTAGGGTAAGCCTGTTTCATTTCCGAGTTCTTGTGACAAGCTTTGCAGTTAGACCTTACTTAAGCTCACCTTAAGTATTGAACTGTGTAATTTTGGTCATGAAAGAAATAAATCCACCTACAACGTTTCTAATGTCAGCTATTTTCTACTTTATATACATCTGCCCACTTCATAGATGATTGAAAATGTAATGATGTTATTATCAAAGTATGAGGCATCACGGTCTTCAGCCTAAATATCCCCACAATTACTTGGCATCATGATACAAAATTTAGTGCAGTTTGCAGTGTCCCCACAATTTCTTGGTATCATGATACAAAATTCAGTGCACAGACATTAAAAAACATTCAAAGTTAAACTTTAAGTATGGCTTATTAATGTCTCTTTTCTAAGAGTAATCTACGTCTCAAGATGAGGTCTCTGAATTTCAGGCATGTGCTATTCAAAGCAGAACAGAAAGAAGTTACATGTTTGCTCACCTTTAAATTGCAAAGGAATATTATAATAACAGTTTCTTAAATTTATGATTTCCTTGGTTTTAGGGAAATCTGATGCTGTGCTTTGATGCATGTTTCTCTCATCAGCATCCTCATTTATTTCAAGGAAACAATGTCTAGAGGATATTTTTTAATATTGCATGAACTCAGCAAATGATATGCCTCACAGTGATTTAGAATGCCCTCTGTGCTGTAATTGTCATTTCCACCCCCAAGATCCCACTGAAACAGCACCTCCAGACCTGTGCTGCTGCATCAATGTGGAGCTAGAGCTGAAAGTATTTAAACTTCTCAAGATACATGTAGAAGCACACAGAAGAGGTGCACCATGAGCTGAAAAGAAGGCACTGAAGTAAAAAATAAAGAACAAGTAGCTCCCAGTCCACTCCCAGCTGTGCCACATGTTTCCATTCTCCTCCCTTGTTCCAGCTCTGGCTGTTTCAGTTTAGATCACCAAAGAACTACCTACAATGGTCCTCACTGCTATCTGAGACAGTAAACCCAGCACAGGGCCTGAGGGAGGGGAGGAGGAGAAGGGGGAAGAAGATTCCCTATTTTCCATACCTCATTTCCTGAGCTGGGAGGACAGCCATGTGCGCACACAACAAGAAGGAGGCTGGCTCTCTTTTTTCTAGCCTTGGACCTGCTGTGTATGTAGACAGAAGATTCCAGTTGCTACAAGGGCCATTCTCTCACTGGCAGAGAGGATGACAGTCAGTCACTTCCACTTTTATGAACTCACCACATGCTATACTAGTTTCTGCCTAATCCCTGAACTACATTTCTCACAGTTTTCCATCTTCCACCCACAGCTCCATTGACTTCTCAACACAAAGAGGCTGAACAGCAAGAAAATAGCAGAGCTCTGGAAGTGGAAAGAAACATTTCAAATCCTCATAAAGATTGTGGAAAAAGAATCAACCTGGGAAGGTGATTTAAAACTACAGAAGAAGGCCAGAGACCCATTGTTGCAGAAGATTTAAGATAATTTCCTGTGAAACTTATTTCTGTGACAAGCTGACAAGGAGAGAGAGAACCCAGCAAGGAAAACATGGTGTCTTGAAATTTTGGTGATGGTTTATTTCCATATGTGCTTCAGACTCTCTCCTTGGATACTGGGTACATACTCCAGGATGGCTCCAGAGAACTCCTTGGAGATATTCAAGAGCTGCCTGGGCAATTGGCTCTAGGTGGCCCTGCTTGAGTAAGGTGCTGGACCAGATGACTCCAAAGTTCCCTTCCAACTCAACCATCCTGTGATTCTGTGACATGCTGCAGCCCATGAGGGGCTTCACACTCCTCTTCTGTTCAATGGGGGCATTTCTCCCTGTCGGCTCCCTTGGCAGTGCCCTTTGCCTTGGGTGAATTCCCAGAAGGACATCTGTGAAAGCGGCTTTGCGGAGTGGAACCATGCCGCTTTCTCCAGGACTACCCTTGGATGTCCTTTTCTGACATCTGCTTTTATGCTGTGCCCCTGCTGCAGCTGTATGAAGTTTCCAGGCTTGCTGAGAAATATGTCTGAACTCCCATCCAAGGATGGGGAAATAGCTCAGCTACAGGGCTGCCACAAGCATGTGAGGCACAGGCTGCCTGTTGAAGGGCTCCACATTTGACTGGTCCCCAAGATGCATGTTGCTCAGGAAACCTGTGAAGGACAAACTCAAAGCCTTCAAGGAAAGCAACCAGAAGAAATTACAGCATTTCCAGGCCCTGGAAAATGCTAGGTGTGCATAAAGATACAGGTGCTACCTGATACAGGTACTAGACATAGGAACATTAAGCTCCCTACAAGTATTTCCAGGAGGCAGCTTCTCCCTATGTCAGCTACATAAGGAATTGATTTCTAGTCCTAACTTGCACACTGGTGGCCTTGGGTGGGAGCAATACACCCAGTATGCCCCATCTACCAGCAGGCTCTTCTCTTGGCTTTAGCAAAAAAATAAATAGAAATTGAAAAAAAATATTTCTCCATCACTGTAACATCTTGTGCCATTTCAGAGGCTTTCCAGGTTGATCTCAGAGGGTTGCTTTTGAAAAAGCATTGCTTTTTGAGGGGCACTGCTTTGAGGGAAAAGAAGTGGTAAAAGATGGTCTTCAGCACTGTAAAAAGAGGTCAGAGTCCTTCTACAAACACAGAATTTTAAATTACAGCAATTCTGAGAAAATTCATTATTTTATCCCATGGGAATTTTTCATGCTTGTCATAATAAAAGGCAAAATTCTGCCCACAGGGAAGCCAAAAAGTCAAATGTGACTCAGTATAATTACGAACATGTTAGATTTCACACAAGGTCACTTGAGAAAGGGAATGGGTCAGTTCTGGAAGCTTTTTGCCACAGTTATCTCCACACAAGCAAACTTTTTGGTGCTATTGACACTTCACTCACAGATTGCAGAAATAGGCAATGGTTCAGTTTTGAGAAAAAGGGGCAATTCCAGTTAACAGCAAAGAAACTCAAGGGCAAACATGCAGCACAGGTTTTGGGACAAGCTACGTTATCCCTGACCAATAGCAACTTTGGCAGGTTGACAGGGACCTGATGACCTCATGAAATATATATGAAACAAAGCAGGTCATGGCTGTTCTCCAAGAGCCAGGAGAGCTGGATAAGACCTCTTGTTTGCATCAATGCAGCATACTGACACTGCGTGAAAAAAAGGTCTCTGCGCCTCCCAGAATTTATTCCTGTTTTTAGCCCACTTTTGTGAGGAGCAGCGCACTCACAATTTCACTGTTGCACTTGTCTACCAAAACCTGTGAACCCTTATTTCACTTAACTAATTCTGATTGCAGGAGGTGGAGCTCTTCCCTCTCTGCCATATCTCCATGATATATATGTAAACTAGCCCCTGAGTGAAGATCTTAATCACAGTCCCCGGGAGGTGAAGAAGACAAACTCAGCTGGGCTTTGGCTCTTCCACAGCAGTACTGCAAGTCACACCCTGCTTCCCAGAGCATCTCAGATCTTTGCAGCTGTACTTTGCTGGAATGTTGCTGTCATCCCTTTTAAACAAACCAGTACCTCTGAGGACATAGAGAGCACCACATGATTTTCTCTGCAGTTCAACATAGCGGATGGTTTCATGGCTCAGTGATGCCTATGTCCCTCCTCCCCCTCTCCTCTATGCAGCACAGAGTTAGCTTAGGGGAAACCAGAGAGGGTCTGGGAGAAGCAGGCACCACCCCCAATCTCAAAGCTGCTCTTTGGGTTGCTCTTTGATCCCTGTGGCATGCCTGCACAGCCTGGGAGTGCTGAGCTCAGGAGCGCTTTGGGAGCCATCTGCCTGCATATTCAGACAGTGCAGATGGGTCACCAGTGTTACTGGGACACCCACATCACCCTCACTATGCCCCAGGCAGGATCCTATCTTGTTTACCACAAAGCAGGGAGCAAACTGGGCCAGGCTCCTCCATCTCAATCCTTTCCATGGAGCTCAGCTGCTCTCTCCTGTCCTGCCCGGTGCTGGGGCAGCTGTGGGACAGTGCTTGCTTCCCTGACACCATAGCCGTGCAACTTCTGGATGATTGCAGACAGAGCACTGTCCCCAGGGGGTTGGCCCCAAATGAAAGGGATTGCCTGGTTAAGCAGAATGAAAAGAAAGGATTTTTATGTCTCAGCCTAATCTCGTAGATTAGTGTCTGTCTTGTAAATTCCTCAGCATGCAGAAGCTGAGGTCATTGCGCGGTTGAAGGCAGAATAATCTCTTGTGTAATGACCCATGGTCCGGCAGACACTCATTAGCAGCTGCTTAATCTGACCACAGCACTGACCTGAGACCCTCTCCTTCTGGCGAGTGCTGTCGGCAGTACTCCAGCGTGAAGGACTCCACCGACGCCGAGCCAGTGCACCAGCGGACAGTGGCCGTGTCCCAGCACACGGTGCAGTCTTCTGCCTTGATGGTGGGGACTGAGGGCGCTGGGGACACAGGGACAGGTTAGCCATACCACAAGGAGGGCACCAGCAGCTGGTGGAGGATGCTGGCGAGGGAAAGGAAGAGTCATGTCCCCCTAAAACCCCATGGAATAGTTTTGCCCATTCAGCAATGATATGCTTGTTTGTGTTTCAAAGGCAGAGGACAATATTACAGGAAAAAAAAAAAACCCTACTGGGAAAGTCACTGCGAATATTCTTGCATTTCTGCACATCTTTAGAATGCCTGTGTAGACTTTTTTATGTATTTCTTCAAATACATTTTACTTATTTCTGCCAATCTTTAATGAGCAGAGCACCAAGGCAGTACTGCTTACAGCTCTCCCTGCATCACCTCTATCATGTCTTCAGCAGATTCTGCTTGAACTGCATCAGAAACAAATGTACTGCTGCAGAACTGACAGGCAGATGCTGATTTTCTGTCTAATTATGTCCTGTTTTTGCAATTCTAAAATTTGCTCCTGTCATTTCTCTTTTAGAGCCTCAGATTAAGAATTACAGGACCAACTACAAGACAGAAAACAGAATGTAAATTAATGCACTGAATGCAAGTAATCTAAAGGTAATGCATGAAACTGTACATCTGACATTGTAAGCTGAAAATGCATTAGATGTACTCACTTTCTTTTTCCTTTTACAGGGAAAACCAATATAAACAAATCTTAAAAACCTATTGTTGAAACTCGTATAAACAGTCTTAATGTCAGCTCTTAAAAGAAAGGTTATTAATTAAGAAAAGGTCACAGAATGCTACCTTGCTCTTACAGAGGTAGGGTTCCAAATAGGAGGCAGAAGACAAAAGCAGAAATTAGACAATTTTATGACAACATCATCTTACAGAACTGCAACAAGCATTTCAGTTACATTCTGTTTTATAAGCAAAATAATTTGTTTTCAGCAGAAAAGGAAAGAAAACCACCCAGAAGTACGCAATGATTTCATGGTTTAGTTCAGCTGTTCAGGTTAAGATGTACTTGTTTTACTGCAGGAACAGACAACCTCGGTAGGTATTCAGCAGAACAATGATTCCGTGGAATAGATTCTCATCTGGCAATATATCTGTGTACCTCCCTTAGAAACAGTCACTTAATTATCTTCTGAAATATTTGATTACTGTCTGGTTTTAAATGCATCTGTCCCTAGAGAATAAAAAAAGTAATAGCTAAATCCTCTAATACCTGCATTCCACAACTAAACACATACCCCATTTATGTATGAGCAATCAGGATGTCCAAGCCATCGAGGTCTTTTTTCCTCTTTTTTTTTCTTTTTTAATTACCTGTCTAAAGAGTGGATGGAGAGGGCACACCAGAAGAAGTTGTTACTGCGCTTGGATTATTTAAACAGTGTCTCTAGACCTGCAAAGAGCCTTCATCTGGAGATCAGTTTGGGATGGACAGGATGGGGGGAGGGGGTAGAGGAATACTTGCTGCCTTGAGCATCATTCCCTCAGGGAAAAAACTTCTGTGAAACAGCATGTTCCCCAGGGGAGGGGAGGACAAGCTATGAGTCTGGGAGAAGCAGGAGACAGGAGGTGCTGGGGTGATGTTGCAGCAGCACCTGCCTGAATTCCCCACAACTTCCCAGGCCCACTGCTGCCACCATGGGTGCAATCCCAACACAGAAACCTTACAGGTTTCTATAGGGGTTATTAATGTGTATGTTCCTGTAACTGTATAAACCATCAAATTACTTTCTAGTATGTGCCAACTTCTGATCTGAACTACTAAAAATACACTCTGAATTATTGCTTCTGATTTCATTGGGTTACTTGAAGAATCAAAGTATTCTAACTTTATATCAAAGTAGCTGAGCTCATATGAAAGAACTGCTTTCTACTTCTAGTGCTCATCTTTCCATCCTCTGTGATAACAGCATGTACGAGTTTTGCACCAGTCAGTGCTTAGCAGTGTCCTGCAGGTCCATTTGAGGCTCAGTGCACTCCAGAGTGAGTTCAGCTCAGCTTCAAGGAAGGTGTTTAGTGAGCCTTTGTTTGATCTTGTTTATTTGCTTTCTTAAAGAAACAGGCCAAAGCAAGGCATCAAAGACTTAAGGAAATTAGCAACTTCAGAAAGCTTCAGTTTTGGGAAAAAGAATGGTGAGCCTGATACCAAAAGGCAAAGACAGCTCTTATAAATAGCAGCTTTAGAGAGGTGAGAACCCCTTTTGAAATTATGATTTATTAGCTAGTAATAACTCATTATTATTTGACCATTTCACAGGAATTCTGCACCATGCTGACAATTAAATTGTTGAGGCCATGAATTTTGAATTTCTGCTTTGAATTCTCTGTAATATTTGCTAAAGCTATGAATAGTAAATTGAATATCAAAGAGAATTATCGACAAATTTGAAGTCTAGTAGATTAAGCAAAAGACTTGGTTGTTGCCAAGTAATTTCATCAGTCTCATACAAAATTATTTCATTATGAAATTGTTAAATACCTTTGTCTGTATTTTGTGACTGCAAGAACAGAATGATTGTTTTAACACTGTAGCTCTAAAAAAACTGTCAAGAGAGCCTCAGACACAAGATGCTTCACCTTGCTCGTAACTCAAGATGCAATAGTTTTGTCAATACAAATTATTAAAGACATTAAAGCTCAAAAAATTAATCAGTCAAATGAAGCTCATAAACAGTACTTGTCTGATTACTCAATTTATACCGCTTAAACAACAGAAGAGCCTCTCAGCCACACCTGAGATTTGTGTCCCACTGAGCTAGATGCAGTATGTAAGCTCAGTAAAGAAGGCTTTCTCTTGAAAAGTTAATCATGTAAATCAACGCAACATAGATGTATTTGGAAGGGTGGCAGAGAGGCAAGACATGAAGCTGTCACCTCCATCTTTCACATGAGAAGCAGCAGCAGGGAGCAGCTGGGTGCCTTTCCCAGAGTGTTGCAGTGCACTCAAATTCATAATGTGCTTGCCCAGTGCCCTTCTCACAAGGCCTGAGACTGAAAATGTTTTCAAATCTGAATGCCTGCAATTTTCCTTCTAGCTGCAATTATGTACTATCTCTTAGCAAAAAGAGAAATGACCATAAGCTGCCTGCTATCTGCCAGATGGGCTAAATGAAGCAGCTTATTCTCTTTCAGAAGAATTGGTCTGGACTTCTGAAAGGATGTGTTACTTATAACAATCAAATGCCAAAATATGTACATACCTGTTTTGAAAATGGCTTTTTCACTGGGTAAGCTGCAGCCTGTGCCATTCACAGCCATGACCCACACACTGTAGCAGTGATCTGGCTCCAGATCCTCCAAAATGCAGTGGCTCTCCTTCACTGTTACTCTGTACTCTTCCACCAAAGCTAGGAGAACATATGCATGCACAGGACATTACACTCATGTTGCACTGGTGGGGACTATGACTGTGCCTCTCAAATAACATGTGAAAAACAGCCAGTTAAAAAACAAATAGAGAAAGCATTTACTCTAAGTCAGTTTTGACAGTTTCTGAGTTGAGTGCACTCAAATGCCATTGATGGGAAGGGGAGATTATGGCTCTCAGTTCTACTGAGGACTAGATTGAAAATTTGAGACATACATTCAGCAGTTATGAACCCTGGTTATGAACCTGCTTTATAAAGTAACAATTTCTCAAAATGGACTTCATAGCCCCTAGCTATAAATTAGATACTAGAAAAAGCCCTTAGCATACTTTAGCATGCACACAGTACACACAAACCCATATACACAAAGACACCCATGGATTTGTGCAGAGCCCAGTTGCTTATAAGGACTTTATGATCAGTCTGATGTTATTAACAAATGAACAATTTAATCCCATTTCTCAATTTCATATTTAACATCTGAAATATTTGAATGTCATTTTGAAAAAAAAAGTATCTTTGTCAAATGTGGAAATACTAGTTACCTTTTCCTGTCATTTATTAGGACACATTCCCGAAGTACATGCAGGCCCCTAAAAACTGAATGAAGCCCATCCCTTTGGGAGCTCTATTATTAGTCCCCATGAGCATCCATGGGGCAGCATTGACACATACTCTCTGAAGGTCAGGGCACTTCAATAAAAGGACACCTCAACAGTGATTTACTGCTTCTCTGCAAACAACTGTCCTGCACCATACAGACCATGATGTTTATCTTGCATTCTGGGGGGACAAAAAGGAGGGGCAGGAGTGGCATCTATGTCTACTCTCCTCCACTGTCACCCACCCTTAGTGATACACATGAGGTCCTCACAGTGCGTTTTCTTTCTGTGTCCTGAGTCCTCCCCTGCAGCTTAGCCTCCCCTCTGCTGACCCCAGACTCCTGCTCTCATGAAGGCAAGACCTTACTCACCCCCTGCATCTTTGTTGGCTTGCAGCTCCTCCATACAGTAGACCTGGAAGCAGTCAATGGCATCCCCATCGTTCACAGCCCAGTAGACAGCAACTGAGGTGCTGGTGGCCGAGTTTGGTTCCTGAGGTATGATAGTCGGTGTCTGTGGGGCTGAGAGGGAAAGTCTCCCATTGTTATTCAAACTCCTGCATTTTCAGCCAAATTACCTACACGTTTGTGAGGCAACCCAGTAGCTTATTTTCACTCAGGTTGCTTATTTCCATAGAGCAATTACAGAAAGCACATGAAATATGGAATATTGGTTCCATTTTAAAGCAACAGGTCCCCCCAAACTAGGAACAGAATAAAGTAATTGTTCAGTGTTGCAATCTGTCCATTTCCCTTGCAGTCTGAACAAAATAAGACCCATTCTTTGTACTAGCAGCCCTTGCACCCAGCACAAGGCCTGTGCCCATACCCTTCCCAGCTCTTGCGGTTCTTCCCCATGGGGCAGGACTATCATGCAGATGAGTCATTGCATGGCTGTTCATTTCCAGCCTTCAGGAGGGAGGCTCCCAGGGCTGCAGCAATCCTGGGGACACAGAACTGCCTTATAGCTCCAGCAATCCCTTTGCTTTCACCAAGAGACCTGCTCTCTTCAGTCACAGCTGAACTCCACTTTGAGGTGTATGTGCTGATGAAACTCCAAGAGACTCCTGGTAAATTCAGGCCACCTCCTTGAAAAGTCCAGGAGACGCTGGAGCTTAATGCAGGCTCCTTTGGATGACTGCCTTCTCCATTATGTGACCTTACCTTGCAGCATAGGCACCAGGAAATAGGACACAGTATGAAGAGGATGCCCATGAAACCAGAGGCTGCAAGCAGTTGTTTGTAGCAAAGAACATGGGACAGCTCAGTGACGGAAAACTTGCAGAAAAAGAAAGCTTCCTTCAGAGACAGATGTATGTAGCTGATCCCAGAACAGTGGAAAGGGGAAAAGACCTGCCAGACCAGGAAAGGTTTAATGCAGTGTGTCAAATCCACTGACACTGACAGCAGCAGAGATGTGCAAAAGAATCCTCAACAGCACGGGGGAGCAGGAGGCTTCCTGCAACCTTAGGTCCACATCTGCCCAGAGGTGGACTCCTACTGCAGGTGCACAACTAGGTGCTCCTGTCTAGCATGGTCATTTTCCACACACACCCTTGGTGTCCCCACACATCCTTGGTGCACAGGTGCACCTGAACTCTGCCAAAGCACATGAAACCCATAGAACAACTATAAGCACCCCTCACATGTCAAAGACTCCCAAGGCTCCCCAGATCTCATATAGACTTTATTTCCTGATTGGCACAGATCTATTCCAGATGAGATATTGTTCCCCTCTACTATTATGGTGTAAGAAAGAGGGAGGGAAAGAAAGAAACAAAAAGCCTAAAAGATGTTCGTTGTTAGAGTGATTGCAGGGAATGAAAATACATGGTTCTATTTCTTCACCCAGTAAATTTCCGTATTGCACGAATTCTCAGAATCTCAGCAGAAAGCTTTCACTTTTTTCAGTTATTTTCACAGTAATTATGATGATCCCCTGTGGCACGAACAGCGCAAATGCAGATGCTGACTGTTTCCTTATGATTTATACAGAGAGCTACCAGTACAGTAGGATTACATCTGTTTCCCATTGAAATAAAAATTATCCTTCTTGTTGCTAAAAACAGGCTGCATTTTGTCTTTTGACTTTCTAGAGTTGGTCAATTTAAAAATTGATTGTCTTTAGGAAGACTTCTTTTCAGCAGACCCAGTGGGGAAACCAGCTTTTTGTCTGTGAAGTTGCCTAGAAACCACTATGTAAGATCACAGAAACCCCACAACTGCAAGATTTATTATTATTCCAAATCAGAACAGAAGCTGTCTTAATGAATGAAACTTCTGTGGAAAAAAAAGAGAAAAAACCCCAAATTTATAAATCAAAATTCAGTTTGGCTACCTTAAGAAACATTTTTGCATAGTATGAAGCAAACTTTTGAAAGCAAATGATTTCAAAGCAAAAAGTTGAACTGTTCTCTTCAGAAACAGAACATTTTTTTGTTATCAAAGTGCTGATCCCTTTGTAAATTAAGTTTAGTCAAAGAAATATTTGCACAAGTTTGAATAAATCATGTTTTTCAACAGAAGAGTGTGTTGATTTCTCCTCAGTTCATTTTTCATTGAAGTACTATGCTGTAAGGAAGTTTTTCCTTCATGCCACCTAACGGGCCCCAGAAAAAAAATAATGATCCCAAAAGGTTTATGGATATTTACCCCATTCCAGTGTAATGAGAAATAATGTTTCTTTGGCTGTGTGGATTGAAGAAGGAGAGTAGTTACATCCCTCTGTGATTCTAATGGAAGATTGTTACAATCAACAATGTCTGGCCTTCAGATATAAAAGGTCAGGACTCATAAAAAGCTTTGGAAATAAAAGTTTTTCCATTTTTAAATTATTCCCACTCTTCTTGTGTCAAAGCCTCAGTTCCAATATGCTCAATGACATGCTGAAGTTTTTTTTTTGCTTATACGTTTGTTAATGGGGATGGTTTACATGAAAGGAGGAAGAATTTGAGGGAAAAGAACTTTTCGTTAGTGGATATGGAAAATCTGGAAGTGGAGAGTCTTTGGAAGAAAGAAGTTTCTAGAGTGGTGAATATAAAGTTCTATGAAATTGTTCAGTAAAAGTCTATACTTTCTGAAAGCAAAGTATGTGCATTGGAGAAATGGCAAATTCACATGTATTTCATCAAATGGCTTCAATCAAAAAATAGTCTGAGATTGTCTGACATTTACCTCCAGGATGTGATAAATGATGGACTCAAGGTGTTTGAGTCCAAATAAAGTTTTGTGTAGGCATTTACCTCTGTTTGCCTTCAGGAATGGTGTAATCTTGGAGGGGGAAAAAACCCAAAATTGTCTACTGCTCACCAAAGTAAAAATCACAGTAACAACTGGGATACTTGGTGATGGAAGTGAGGAAGGAAAACCAAGTACTTAGAAAGAGAAGAAACTATGGAGGATGGGGCATTTCAAAGATTGCTTTCTAGTGGACAGTCATTCATTTCCAGTTTGTCAAACTGGTCTAGAGCCATTTGGTGTTCAGCAGACACAGTAGCTAATGCAAATCAAACTGAAAAGTGATCTCAGCAGCTTAGAGAAAACCACACTGGAGTGACTTGTGAGGAAAGGAAATAGAGCATGGCACAATGTTTCTGTCCTCCTGGGTGACCTTGCCCATAAGTAGCAGCCCAGAGGCAAAAAATGGTTGCACCCATGGGACTGCAAGAGTAGGTTTTAGAACTAAACCAGGACACATTGCACGTGTGCACCACTAAGTTAACTCTGACCAACAGTGGGTTACAAAAAAGATCTTTTTATCTGATTTCCCCCTAGAATGACACCAATGTAACGCTGCTTGCAGAAGTGCCTGTCAAACTTCACCTGAGAAGGCTGGAGTGCTGCAGACAAATTCATACAAATCTGATGAGGTCATTAAGGTCTCAGAAATATTCAGGTCTAATAAAAGCAGTGGTGTGGAGAGGATCTCTCAAAGTGACACTCCTGAGCGCACTCAGCTCTTATTAGACACTGGAGAGTCTACACAAGAGAGCACTTATCCAATGTCCCATTATGCACCTGAAAATCCAGACAGGAAACAAAGTACTTTAGGGAAATTGATAGTCTAGTTCCAGTGCGCAGGGACCAAACATGCGAGAAAGAGGCTTCACTAGAAAAGCTGGAGAGGACTGTGATGGTGATGGTGCACACGGTGGTGAATGGGAGGTAACAAAGCAGGACAGCAGGATGCAAACATTCTCTTGAGAAAGAAACACTAGAATGAGACCCTGTTATGAGGAAAATGCGTCCACAAATTGGTTCTGACAAGCACCTCACTGACAGCAGTCAAGATCCAGATAATTTCTATAGGTGTATGTACAGGCAGAGCAGGCAGCCTACACAGACAGGACACAAAATATCAGATAAAGATGAATAAAGTTCTTTATCATGTGCAGTTTTCACAGCTGCCCTCAGAAGCAGGGACTGTTTTCAGGTACAGTTAACCACTTTCCCTTCATGTCCTGTGGGGTTTCATGTGCCTCCCAGGGATCTCGGCTATCAGTCAACCCCCTGCTCTGCTCCCTACACCAGTGATGCTGGTGCAGCCCCTCTTGGAGGAAGAGAGCTCAGGATACCCTAGGACAGGCACTTCTATCCCCATCTGCAAGTCAATAGCAACTTTAGCTAGAGGAGATTCACAGATAGAGACCTGCTGCTACTCTGAAATGATGCAAGAATCCCCCAGTTTAGCACTTCTTTCTCTGCTGCTGTGTCCTACTATAAGCCAAACACTTGTGCACAATTAGACTTCATTCTATGTTCAACTCTGATTGCTAATTACATGGTTTGCAAATTTATACTTCTCAAATAGATTCTGTTTTTAGCTTCCTCAAATTTCTGAGGCATTGCCAAAATGTTAGCTTTTGTAAAGATGGTATTAAGAGATTCTTACCAGCCACATGTTTTAAAGAGTTCTGGTTGCTTTGTCCTGGACTATCCGTGTAGTGCTCAAACAGTGAAAAAGCACTGGGCACCTTTTCTAAGGAGAGGGTGGTATCCATTGCGCAAAGTAACCTATTTGGAAGAAAACACACAGTTGTCTGCGTAAATTCTTTGTAACACCACGTAGTTTTCCGAAGGCCAGAACACAGACCATGCAACATACTCTTAAGTATGTCCCATGAACTTGAGGACCACATGCAATGAGAAGCTGTTTTCCTGATTTTGAACATTTAGAGCATACTGTGATTTCAGACCATGAGCACAGTGAGAGTGCTGTGCATATGATCTGTATGCACTTAACCCATGAGAAAATCAGGATTTGCGTTCACAGCAAGACTTCCAAGAGCATGGGGCTCAGGACTTGCTAACACAGTGCCTTTAAGTTACAAACTTTGGAGCTAAATTACAGCAGCTGACTCCAAATATGTAATGTAAAGCAGCTGCTTGTGACAAGTGAAAAAAACACATGAGGAGGAAGATAGATCTCACTTAATTAGCCTATACTTGCTGAGTTCACTATAGAAATAAAAGCCAACATATTTTTAACTCCGAGGCAGAAGCAGCTTCAAGGAAATGAATATTTTTTTTCAAGGCCACTGAATTTTACCTTTCCCCCTTTTTTTTCGTCATTGAAGTAATCGATTCTGCCTAATCTTAACAAAGCACAACAAATATAAAATATACTTTCTTTAGAAAAACATGCATTGTTATATAGTTTATTCTTAGCATTTTTTAGCAAGTCAGGTATTTCAAAGCAAAGTAATTACCATGCACAAACCAGAATAAACCTATGTTTAGTGTGTAAGTAAACAAGTAAAGATCAAGTATACAGAAAGCTTTGGAAAATTGTTTTATCCCATTATACCTGCTCTATTCTTATGCAATAAACTACATGCAGATGTGTGTCTAGACTCTCAGATTTTGATTTACAACAGGTGAGTCCAAATTTACAGTCCTAATTCAGCAGATCAATAGAAACCATCAAGGGGTGTTTGGCACATTCTGTTCAGATCTCTTCAGACCACTGACCTGGGTTTGTAAGTTGACTGCAAACTGGAACCCTTGTGTCACTGTTAAACCCCAGTCCATGTCATCACATGTATTGCTGTGATGGCTGAGGCAGCAATGATAAGGGTATGTCTGATATGCACTGTACAATACCCAGGACCTTTGGGCAAAGTCAGTGGTGGTGATATCAGCAAAGCAGATTTAGAGGCTTGCACAGGAGGATCCTGGAGCCAGCCTGTCTGAATATCTGTAGTTCACCTTGGAAAACTCATTGGTGAAATACAGGCTCACATTTTCTCATACCAAAATTACTCCCTTGAGGAAATCACACATTGCAGAAGGGTGTTTGTGACTGTATGCATTTACTGGTCTGTGAAGGTGGGCCAGGATGCAGCTGTGATGAGGCATCATCCTTGTGTGGCACACATCAGGCAGTGCCAAGGAAGAGGTGTGGGAAAACATCAGTCCATAGTCCTTGGTAAGACCTGGAAAGCTACCTAATCTTTTTTCTTCTTTTTTTTTTTTTTTTTTTTTCTGAACTTGAAATACAGTCCAACAACCCCAGCCTTGTGAGTGACATTTTGCGTTACAACCTTCCAGAGACCAGGTAATACAGAACCAGACTAGTGAAAAAAGAACACAGCACTGATGTATAAGAGATGGAAGCACGGCCAGAATTCTTTTTAGTATAGCTGTGTATAATAACTACAAGGAAAATCTTATTAAAAATGTCCGTGTGGAGATTAAAAATTGAGCTGACATTTTAAAATGCTATTTGTTTAATTGATGTATTGCAGAACATGTGCAAAATGCTTCAAAACTAGTCAGTTACATCAACAAGTATAAAACCTATAAAAACGATATTAGCAATATGTTTTCAAAGCTTGCAAATACTAATGAAGCATCCAGCATGCTAGGCCTAATACTCACTACAGTGCAGTTAACCCGTATTTCATATACCTTTTATTTAATTCTTTAGATGACTAGAGGAGGAAAAAAAGAAATGTATTAACAGCTTTCAAACTCCTGAAATATCCTTTTATTTAATACTTTAGATGACTAGAGGAGGAAAAAAAGAAATGTATTAACAGCTTTCAAAATCCTGAAAATGTTGAAGAACCACTCATCAAACAGTCTTGCTTCTCTCCCCATGCATAAAATACACACAGATTTATTGACTTGATGATGTCTGTGATGCTGCTTACTCATGTCAGCAGAGAATTTGAATCCTTAAGAATATTCCACTTCAAAGCTCTGGCTCAGCAGGCTATTAGAGTCTAAATCTGATTTTAAGATCCCAAAGGGTCAATATTGAGGTTTAAAGATGGGAGCATGGTCAAATACCTTCTTAAACCAAGGCTTTTACAGGGAAGAAATCACCTGAGCATTAAGAATACTTCAATCCAAATTCTGGATGAAATCTCCTTCAGAACTTTTTACTAATAAAAGTTGGGTGAGATCTATACTCATGGAGTGAGGGTTTCTTCCATGCTCCATGAAACTTCAGCTAACGTCTCCTGGCTCATGGACAGAAAAGTTTATGCCTGTTATCGCTAACAGAGACAGACTGGGAATCTAATAATGTTAACAACTGACAAAAAGAATTTTAAAATACAAAGTTATCTTTTTGCCAAACCACTGATCCAGTACCTCACAAAGTTCAGGAAAACAAGCTGTATTTTTCATCCACCCCAAAATAGCCAATCTGCCACAACATTCATTTGACTACAAGATACTAAGACACTATGCAGCTTGGAGCAGGGGAGAAACCAAATACTGCTCTACTGTTTCTGTAACTGCTGGTATATGGGCTGGGGGCTTGTGCTTGGAAAGCAGTTTTATTTTTCATGAATGATCAGTTTTAGACAATAATTTGAACTTTACATTTCTTCCCAGGACAGTTTCTTTGCAACTTCCAGACTGTGTGGTAATTCTGTTACAGGAGAAGATTATCGTCACAGAAGTCCCATCCCCTTCGAGACTGCTGAGACTTTTAAAGGAGGAAGTGTCAGTGCCTTATGGACAAGCCTTGCAGCACAAGAATAATCCTGGAGGACCAGGCTGTTAATGGTTAACCAGCAACACCCTCTGAAACCAGCTCGTGACTGTCTGAACTAGGTAATTCCAGTCATACAGATTCACAAGGAGTGGTTTTTATGTCCAGAAAGGACTATTACAGACATGCACTTCAAAAGCACATTCCTCACACCTAGCCCATTGTCATGGTTTAACCTTCACCAGCAGCTAAGCACCACACAGCCACTCCCTGTTTTTCAGCATTAAGCATTTATCACAGCCTCAGTAATTTGAGTGCATAACTAATGTCTGCGTCTGCTTATCTAAGAAAACCCTCACTAAGGCCACAACCCAACAACTCTGCTTCAAACAAACCCTTCAATTACACTTTCCTGTTTCACCTTATTTTTTTTCATAAAGTACCTTTTACTCTAATATTTCATACTCCTCAGTTGATAATTAATTATATATAAATTATCAGACTGTCTCTTAGCGTTCTCTTCACCAAAAAGAACCATTTTAATGGCACAAGTAAAACTTTCATCCTGTGCATCATCTTTGCAATTCTTTCTGAGCCTTCACATGACAAAAGCAAATGATCTATCAGTTTCAGAGTGGAATAGCTGAGCTTGCAGGATCTAGCTATATTTAAAAATAAAAAGGAAGATAAACAATTCGTTCTTAGTCTAGGTACAGTAAAAGTGATTCCCTAACTAGTATCAAAAAAGCTACAGCATGAAAGCCATTTAAACTTACATTGAGGAAAACAAATCCATCTAGCTCTTCCATTTCTTTTACTGTTGTCTCCAAAGTTTCCTTTGCTGCATCAACAGTTTGCTGGAAGTTAACCATCTGCTCATACAAGTACTCCATTTTCATCTTCTTCACTTCCTCAAAGTTCTCTGACTTCTCGTCATACTGTGCTACCATTTTCTTAAGCATCTCTTCATTCTGCTTTTCTAATAACTCTGCATTTTTCTTACAATTTTCCTGCAAAATAAAAACAGATGTAAATTGATCTGTAGAATAAAATTACAACATTTGATGAATACACAGCAATTCTCAATTAACCATACATGAGCCATCCACCAGAAGCTTTCTGGCATCCTGGCAATAAGAGAACTTTATTTCTGTAAGCAAGCTCATCTGGAAGAAATAATGCTAGAGAAGTACATTAGAAACAATGACAGATTTTGTTTTGGTTTGTTTTTTGTTTTTTTTTTTTTTTGTTTGTTTGTTTGTTTGTTTGGGTTTTTTATTGTTACTGTTTAAAATTAAGCTTCTATATTTAAACACTGAGTCAGGAAGACTGACTATAAAATAGCTAAAAATCCATACTTTAGACAGAAATTAATACAGTCCTTTAGACTTAAGAACTTGAGCATTATCAACGTAAGACATTGGGCAACTCATTTAAATGCTTTGCACAGTATTCCGAATAAAGACACAAACAGTGTGAGCTTTTTATAAGCATAAACAAAATTAATGGAACTTTTCCCTCCAGTGCTTGGCAGTCACATATTCTACTTTGCAATGATGTGCAAAAAAAAAAGCAATCTTTTTCTTCTGAAGTTAACACCTTCCAGTGGGAGAAGCCAATTTGAGGACTGGAGAAACAGCCCAGTTTAGTGGAAACAATGACACTCTAAAACAAGGCAAGCATATTTCAGAAGGAATTTTGTAGAAGGAAAGAAAATTAGTGTGATAATCACTGGACTTACCTCAACAGAGTTAAATAGTGATTCAATATCACCCACAAACTCTTCAATCTTCATTGACTTTTCTTCCAGTGCTACCAGCAATTCACTTAACTGATCCTGAAATTTAAAATATTTCAGTAACGTAAGCATGTTATTTTATAAAGTTTTACATGCAACTTTTTTTTTTAGGTATTTTTGCTTTGCCATGAGCCAACCATTGGAACAATTGCTAAATTAAGTTCAAGTGTTGTCCTGGCTACAAAGACAAGCACAGAAATAGCAGCTGGAACAGTCACAAAACTGTTTCCAAACCAAAAAAAGTGAGCTCAGTTCAACAAGGTGCTGAGTGTCAATACAAGTTGTTGAAAGTTACAAATTCCAATGCAGCTCTGCTAGAGACTGAGGGTGCTCAGAGCCTCATGAGGGTCCTCAAGAGATCACAGGAACATAAACAGGAAGATAATGCAGGTAATTATGAGGCTAGATTATGCAATGTCAATATTTTTTTTAATCAGAATTTTAAAGACATTGCCTATAAGCCAGAATTCACCAGAATCTCTGGTTGAATTAGATGTGGAAAGAAAAGCAGTCCATAGGACAACAATTATTAGAGATGACTCAGAACTTTTTCTTAGTCCTTCTTGACCTTTTGTGAAAGCAAGCTGGCCATCTGCTCAGGTGCAATTTATGATTTATAAGAATACTTTTGTTTAACTAGCTGGCATAAATGTACGAGGAAGGTTAACTTCCTTTGGTAACAGCTTCCTATTATGGCAAACTTCTACAGCTAGGTCTGTTGAAAACTAGCAGATGATGTCCCATTAATTGTAAATGTCACATTGAACTGTACAACTGGAACCTCACTTTATAAATACTTAGGGCTAATCACCAAGGTTCAGAGGCAAACTTCTGTTTGTCAAGATAACCTATAAAATCTGACAGATGTCATCATAGCTCATTTCACTTACTGCAAAGTTGTATTCCTACAGTTAAAATTCAGTTGACAAGTATTTTGTTATCTTAATGTTTTCTCAGTAATCATGAACAGAAGTAACAAGAAACATACAAATGCCATCTCAGAGTAACCTGAGCCCTGAGTGCTGGAAATATGTGAAGCTGAACCTGTGTTGTGGCCAGATTTATTACTGGCTTTATTTCCGTGCTCCACAGCCAGGAAGCAATATCATGGGATGTTTATTTGCAGCTTAACTCGACTCACTGCAATGTAAGTACATTCAAGGGATGGCTAGGCCTGTGACTTTATTACTGACTTACCAGTGACTAATTATCACTTCTAAATCAAGCATGAATGGTCATATATAAAAGGCAACTCCATTGTCATGGAGGCAGTTTGTAAATATGGATATTTGAAACTGCCACATTGACTCCTCCTGTTTTGAGTTTATATTTTTTTGCACATGAATCAACATAAAGATAACATAAATACTACTGATAGAAGCTCTTCTGGAATTTTAGTGAAATTATACAAAATCTGTGTTACCATCAACCAAACATGTGCCAGGAAAGAGACCTCACTTTTCAGATACTGGGGTGAGATTAAATAGCTGGTAAAAAATAATGGAAAGTTTGTATATTTGTACCTGAACAAATCTGATATATGGGAAAAGTGAAACATCACATGCACGCTGTTTTCAAAAGAACTGCTATTTAATGAAGAATAACTTTGCAGGAATGAAAGCATTTTCACTAATATTTGTAGCAAAGGAATGGGCTATTGAAATGGAGGGTATTTTTATCTGTCTTTTAGAGTGGTACAGCTTAGAAATAGTGGAAAGAAATAGGTTTTGTCTTACTTGTGCTACAGCTAAAACACTACTGGAAGAAAAGAACATGAACTGGACAGCAAATGAGGATGATGTCTCAACAGAACTGTGTAACTTATCTAACATCTCCAAACAACCAATAACAAGTAACTAGGACAGGGAATATTTATGATGATACTGGTCCCCGTATATGGAGGTTTCTCTACCTTGTCAGGTGAAATGAATGGCCTTTACTAAAATTATCTTTTCATACAAACATCACTCTTTCTCCCCCTACACACAGAAAGCAGAACAAACTTACACAGGTGAGGAGGCTAAAAGGTGAGAAGTCTGGTAACAGCTACATATAAACAAAGTCATTCAAATTTCTGAACAAATAAAAATAACTACTTATCAAGCTAAGGACTCTTGAGAACACCTTAATAGGATTGTCTCCCTTCAAGATCTCTAACAAGTCTTTAGGAATACTTTTTGGTTTGTAGATACTGTGACTTAGACTCTGAACTGCTCTCTGAAGTTTCTTCCCTGAAAACAAAGGAGGTCTGGAGAAATTTGCCTCAGTATCTCCTTCCCTCACCCAAATTAATTCTTACCTTCATCTTGGTTGCAGCATCATCTAGTGTTGTAACTTCATGGTCTTTATGTTCTCCAAAAAGCTTGTCAATAGCAGATATTGGGCATTTGCAGTGGTAACAATATGTGTCTGCTTGCACTTTCTTTAGTTCTCTTTGTGGGCTTTCAACTTGAGGAATGTTTGTTGCTGATTTTTCAGGGTACATCACCACAAAGCCTGAATCTTCAAGTTCAACAGGTGTTCTTTGCTCTGGTTCATCAACAAACTCATAACTATCACCAGCATGCTCAAAGGAGTCCCTGTCTTCAAACAGTAGCTCCTCATGTGTTAACTGAGATGATATTTCATCTTGCAGAAGTTCTTCTTGGGTAATTACATCATAGTCCATTGACTCAGCAAGATCTTCATAAACGTCAGGGTGCTGCTCCTCTCTTTCCTGAATGTTTGGTTTCTCTGTTTGCTGAATGGTAGGGACACAGGAAAGATTTTCTTGAGTATATTGATCATGTTCACTGTCTTCAACAGGAGCCCTGACAAAAGGGACATATTTTTCCATCTGAGGAACTGCTGGTACGTTGTGCTGTTGTTCCTGCTTATTACCAGCTTCTTGATATGTAGCTCCCTGATAATCTGCTGGTTGACCATACACTTGATGACTTGATTGCTCTGGCAGCTCCTCAGTTGTTTCTACAGGTACATTTTCTTCTCTTTGTTCACTCATGTCAGTTCTTGCAACTGAAAGAGCTACGCTGCTTCCAAAAGGAATGGCATGCATTGGTTTGCAAATTGTTGCTTTAATGTCACTGTCAACCTGGACGTTCCCTCTCTCCATAACACTCATTTCAGGCAGAACCTCAGTTCTGACATGCTCAAAATTACCAGGACCCTGTTTGTGTTTGTCCTCAGGAATCTGAACTGAAATTCCTCCACTAAAGGATTCATCCTCTGGCATCTGATCTTTTTCAGGCCCTGTGGCCTTGCTTGGAATTTCATCTTTAAGAATGTATTTTTCAAAATATATTCCTGTTCCATCATCTGTGTCTGAATTTCTACTAGGGAAAGATGCGTTAGAATTACCACTTTCCTCATCAGAGGGAGTCTCATCCTTTGTCTTTTCTCCTACTGCTTCTGCATAGAGGTCCTTATATAAAAATGACAGAGCAGGTGGCTCCTCTAAAAGCTCTGGATTAACTGCAGCAACAGTGGTAGGGAACAACAGAGATTTTTCTAGCACTCCTTCTTCTGAATCAAAGAGCGGGGTCCCTGGTGACTTCCGTTCATCTTCTAAAGTTGCAGCACTTTTGGTGCTAGTATCAACTGATTTCTGTAGAGGTAAAGGATTTGAAACATCTGCATAAGACTGAATTTTGCTTTCTCCCTTCACCGTACCATAGAAGACTTCATCCAGATCCTCAAGTAAGGAAAACTCCTCTTCCAAAGTATCTCCCTCAGTGCTTTCTTTAAAAGACGTAGTTTCTTCCACAGCTTCATTGGGATCTTCTGTCACAGGAAACAATGACCTTGGCCTTTCAAAATGTGGCTTAATTGGGGATTTGTCATCAATCAAAGTATATTTTTCAAAATAATCCATATCAGCCATACTATTATTAGGATCCAACACTGCATAATCATTGTTTTCTGGCAACATGGGATTTTCTTGTGTTTCTTCAGTTCCTTCAACATCATCATTCTTCACCAATTCTTTTGGTTCATGGCTTGCAGGTTTTCCCAATACTGAACTTTCTGAAATTTCTGTGGTTGTCCCAGAAGCTTGGGCTCTATGGCTATCATCAGCCACTTTTCTTTTAAATGAAGGATTTGTTTCTAAGTATTCTAGTTTATCTGGCATGCATTTACTTTCTTCTTGATCAATAGAAGAAATATGTGTAGGAACATGAATATTGAGTATTTCATAACCTTCTGAAATGATATTAAACAAATCTTTTTGTTCAGTAGTCTCTGGAGCATGCTGCCTGCCTTCTAAAACACTTGCTTGCTCCATTTCTTCCTCTTCTTTCAGGTAATGTTCAGGCACTTCAGATACAGTGTCTACCTCTGGATGTTCCATTGCTTCCATTTTTGCAGGGGTCCCAGTACTAGTTTCATGCTCTGGAACTTTATCTGGACCTGGATTATCTCCCACCAGAAATGGTAGATCATACCGCTGTGTTCTGTGATTAGTGTCTGAGGACATTCTGTAGGGAATTGCACTTGACACAGAACTAGAAACTCTAAACATATGTCCTGTATTCTTTGTAGCACCATGAACTGTAAGTTCTGTGCAACTTCCAGCTGGGAATTGTTTCAATCCAAGATCAGAAGTTTCATTTGGAGAAAGCTGATCTTCTCTCCTGTCTACTTCTGCAGCTCTTACTGGACTAATTGAGCGAGCCTTCACCTCTGCTGCCAGCCAGCTAGCTAGACCAAAGGACGGAGTATCTGGCTCCTGCTTTTCATCAGAACTAGAGCTAATGGACTTCCTCTCTGCTGAAGAAAGGCTTCCCTCATAATAACGCTGAGTTTTTTGTGTCACAGTTTCATTCGCAAGATCTGATGAAGCAGCTCCCAGATACTCTAAGGATGCATGCTTTTGGTCTGCAAAATATTGTTGCGTTTCATGTCTATACTCTCCTTCAGTATAAATGCCTGAAAGTGTGTTAGATTGCTTTCCAAGCATGCCTACTACCTCAGATAAAGATGGAATATTTTGTTTCTCTTCATCATCAGTGAAAGCCACTGATACTGACTTTTCAGGTAATTTTTGAAAAGGTACAAATGACTCTGATAACACTGCTTGCTGGTCTGTTACAGCAGTTACCTTTGACTTCATGGTCACCAACCTTGGCACTGTCTGCACATCAGGTTGCATTTCTTGCTTATCTTGCTCAGTAGGGAATTCAGGGGGATTTGTTAGCTGCTCTGATGACAAATATTTTGGGTCCAACAAACTGTCTTGAGGTTGTTGCTCATCTTGGCCTTGTGTGTGTGTTAGAGATGTACTCTCCAACTGCACTGTCTGCAGGCTTGATGGTTTAGGTGAATAGAGCTGAGTTTTCTGCAGTTCTTGTTCATCATGTGGTGGAATTACATGTTTACACTCTGATTGTGCAGACTGTGAAATAACTGGCTGCATGCTTTGCTTTTCTTGTTCAGCAAGGGACCATGTGGGAACCAAATACTCAGAGGCTGGTTTTGAATAAGGTGGAATTTCTTGCTGAGATGTTTCATCAGCTGAATAAAATGGACCTGGAGGTCCAGACTCCATTTTTGAAGGTACAGTTAAATAATCTTGACTTTCTGGAGTTTCTGGTTTATCTGTAGAATATGGTAAATTTAACTGTTCAGATTCTAATTGCATAGATGTATGGAAGTAGTGTGGAGGCTGTTCTCTCTCCATTGCAGGTAAATTTACATGTTCAGCCTCTGACTGTGCAGCCAAAGGCAAATGTTGTTCATTTTTTATATTCTTTGTTTCTTTTCTTACAAAGAAGAAGCCTGACTCAGGCTGAGCAGTTTCTGACTGCTCTTTTTTACAATGGGTGTAAGATAAATCTAAGTGCTTGGGGGACAGGTCTCCAGTTACAGATGAAGACTTTGGACTTCCTTCTGGTTTTGTTTCAGAGGCAGAATGTGAAACACCCAAAGGCACTGTCTGTTCAGTAAGAGATGAATACAGTTGAATATTTTGACTCTTTGCTTCCTCAGTGCAAAAGGAGAAATCTTGTTGTTCAGTTTCCACCTGAGCAGTTAGAAATGAAGGAAGCCCACTGTCTTGCTTCTCTGAATGTCCTGCTCTCAGTAGGGCCATTTCATGCTTTTCTACTTTGTCAGTAGAACTTAATAAACCCAATCGCTCAAAGTCAAGTTTTGCAGTTTCAAGCTCCTTAATGCTGCCAGAGGTATATGATACAGAAGTTTTTTCTGGTTGCTCTGTTTCAACAACAGAGTACCGCAAATTAATGCTCTGCGGTTCAGCTTGGGCCCCATCCCTCTGCTGTGTTTTACCCGTGAAATACAGTGTCTCTGGATGTTCCAGCTGGGCAGTCTGTGGTTGCTCTTCTTTGGCATAAGAGTGCAATAAATCTGGTGGCTTCATTCCATGAGTTTCCTCCTTGCCAAGAGGATATGAGAAATCTGGACATTCTGATTTTAGCTCTTCTGTTTGTGACTGCTCTGATTTTCCTGTGGAATACGAAAAATCAGAAGGTACAAACCCTGGTTGTGTGGTTTTCTGTTCTTCTTGTTTGGCAAGTGAATGTGATAAACCTGGTTGCACTAAGTCCAGCTGTGAAGCTGGTTTTTGCTTTTCTTCACCAAGGGACTGCAAAAAGCCAGGCTTGGCCATTCCCTTTTCCTCTACTTTGCTGAAGGACTCCAAAAGCTCTTGCTGTTGCAGTACTTCTTGGCAAGGTTTCAAGTGCTCTGAATTGCCAGCTGGATAGGATATATCCATTTCTTCCACCTTTGGTTGTTCAATTTCATGGCACTCCTGTTGACCAGTAGAATAGGACACATCTGGATAGTCTGGTTTCCGATGTGTAGCTTTCTCTTCTGCTCCTCTAACAGGACAAGATAGTTGTGGATGCCACAACTCTGGTGATACCATTTCTTGTTCTCTTTTGTCAGAAAAATGCAATGAACTTGTATGTTCCAGTTCACCTAGCTCAATTTGGATTTCATCTGTTTTACCAAAGGCGTATGTTAAATCTTGTTGTTCTAAGTCCATTTGTGTTGCTTCTTGTGACAGTGTTTCACAAATAGAATATGATGAACTGGAAAGCTCCCACTCTGGATGTGCCATACCTTGTTGCTTTGTTTGTCCAATGGGATGGGGTCTTACAGGCTGCTCTGATTTCCACTGTGTAGCTGCTGGCTGCTCTGTTTTGTCACTAGAATATGACAAATATGGATGCCCAAGCTCTGTTTGTCCTGTTCCTTGCCGTTCTGTTTTGCTAGTGAAATGTGGCAACTCCTGATGCTCTGCTTCCATTTGAACAGTTTGTGGTTGTTCTGTATTCCCAGGGGTAGATAACAGCTCTCGTTGTCCTAACCCAAGTTGTGTGGTTTCTTGTTGCTGCTGTTTATAAGTGGAATATGATAAATCTGAATGCTCCAATTCTTGTTTTGCCATTTCTTGTTGATCTTCTTTGCCAGAGGAATACAAGAATTCTGGGAATTCCCCTTCCAGTGGGGCCCTATACGGTTGTTCTGCTGTGCCATGAGAACTTGAAAACATTGGCTGTTGCAATTTCAGTTGTACTGTTTCTCCTGGGTATAACGTATAGCTTCGCCTCTCCTGTCTGATCTCCAGCTGTGTAGGTTGTTTTTCTTCAATAACAGAAGAGGACAAATCAGGGTTCTGTACTTCTGTGGCATCTGAGATATCTGGATGTTCAGACTCCAGTGGGGCAGCCCATGATGGTTTTGTTTTGACAAAAGGCTGCAGCAAATCATGTCCTTTCAACTCTGCCTGTGTCGTTTTATGAGGTTCTGCTGTGCCAACAGAGAATGATAAATCTGTATATTTTGATCTTGCTTGAGAATTTTCCAGGCCTTCTGTTTTCCCCATAGGGCACTGCAGCTCATGGTGCTCTGACTGCATTCCTCCATCTTCCCATTGCTCTTCTCTGCTCAGAGATGATGAAAAATCACCTGGCTGGTCCTGCTCTGATTGAATCTTTTCTTCTTGTTCAGTGCCAGTGGAATGCAATAAATCTGGATACTCCAAATCCACTTCAGCAATTCGATGTTGCTGTGTTTCATCAATTGAACATGATAAATCCACTATTTCTGCCTCAGATTCTATGATTTCATGGTGTTCTAATCTGCCAGCAGATAAATCTAAACAGCTTGATTTTGCGTGTGCAGTTTCTTGTTCTGCTTCACTAACAGAGTAAGATAACTGTGAATGTCCCAGTTCTGGCTGTGCTTTCTTGCCTTGTCCACTTTTTTTGAAAGAATGCAAGAAGCCTGGCTGCTTCTCTTGTGCAGTTTGTGCTTGTTCTGTTTTGCCTGGCCAAGGTGATATATCCGAATCTCCTAATACCAGTTGTGTAGCTTCTTGTGTTTGTGTTTTATCAATGAAATACGGTAAATCAGGATGCCTCAGTTGTGGTTTTGCCATTTCTCTTTGCTCCACTTTCCCACTATGAGATGATGCATCTGGGGCTCCTAGTTTCTCTTCTGCGGCTCCTGGATGCTCTGCTCTGCTGACAAACTGTCCCTTGTTAGGGCATACCAAGACTGTATGCTGCATCCCTCGCAGACCCACTGTGTCAGCAGGGGATGCCAAGTCTGCATGGTCCAGCTCCAGCTGGGCAGGTGGGAGTTGCTTTGTTTTGTCATGAACATAGAATGCATCTGGCTGTTCCAACCCCAGCTGAGTCGTTTCCTGCTCTTTGTCAATGGAACACATAGAGGGAACAGGTTGTTCAGGTTTCACCTGCGCAGTTTGCAGTCCTCCTGATTTGGAAAGGGAATAAGGCAAGTCGCGACCTCCCTGCCCTGGTTCTGCCAATTCTTCTTCTTTTGCCAAACCTGCAGAATGGGCCAAATGTGGAATTTCCACTTCTGGCTGAACTGTTTTCTTTGCTTTTCCAAAGGGGTAGGTTTGCTCTGTTTCTTGGACTCCTTGTCGTACCTCTGTGTTGTCCAGGGGATATATCACATCAGTGTGCTCTGCCTCTTGTGATGCTATTTCATCATCTGACCTGCCAATGGAAAACGATAAATCTGGCTGTTCCAAGTCTTTCTGGGCATGTTTTAATTGTTCCATTTTACCAGGAGTATGTGATAGCTTTTCTTGCTCTGACTGTTGTATTGTGGTTTGCTTCTGCTTTTCTTTGCCAACAGAAATTTTTCTCTGTTTCTGATCCAACAGTACTACTTGTTGGCTTGTCTCATCAGTGGAATGTGACAAATCAGGATGCTTCATTTCCCATGCTGCAATTTCTGGATCATTTGGTTTCCCATGGGAATGTGTCAAATCTGGATATTTTGAGTCTATTTGTGCTGTTGTGAGAGAAGCTCTTTTTCTGGCCACTTCAGGCAATTCTTGATGCTTAGATTCAAACTCTTGAGCTTCTTGTTCCTGGGCTTTACTAAAGGAAAATAGTAAGTCTGGATATTTTGAATCCACTTGTGAAGGTTCTTGCTGGTTTCTTTGGCTATCAGAACATGACAAATTTGGGTATTCAGATTCTACTTCCATTCTTTCATCTTGTACTTCTTCACCCAGGCTTCCTGGTGAATCCAAATGTTCTGATCGTTGTGTTTCTCTCATGGAGTGTGAGAGCTCTGACTGTCCCCACCCAGGCTCTGAGATGTTGCCTGGTTTTGGTTCACCACTGTTGCATGAAAAATCTGAATGTTCCATCACCAGTGGTGCAGTTTCTTGTTTCTTCAAATGAAATGGTAAGGTTGGATGTTTTGACTTTATTTCTTGTTGTTCAGCTTTGCTTAAGGTGTATGACAAATCCAGATATTCTGAGCTCATTTCCATTTCCAATGGAGCTTCTTTTCCACTGGAAGATGGCAAAAACGTTTGTTCCACCTCTGGATGTACTATTTCTTGTTGCTCTGTTTTGCCAGTAAAATGTGAAGGAAATGGTTGCTCTGATTTGTGTTGTGTCATTTCCTCCTGCATTTCTGTACTTACATAAAATGTCTGTTCCTGATATGCTGGCTCTGTTTGCATTTCTTCTTGTAGTTTTTCACTAGAAGAATATGGCAAAGACGGATGCACTAACTCTGGTTCACCTATTTCTTGCTGTGCCAAAGTAATTTGGTCTATGACCTGTAGCTCTTCTTTCTGCCAAGTTTCTGACAAATCCGAATACTCCATTTCCATTTGCATAGCTTTTTGTTGGGCTGTTTCCTGCTGTTCCAGCTCTCTTTGTACTATATTTTGTTGTTCCTTTCTGCCAGACGAGTATGATATATCTGGCTGGACCATATCCAGTGGTGGTGTTTCTTGTTGCTGACTACCAGGAGTGGAACAGGGGGGAAGCTCCTGCTCCATCTGTGCCATTTCCCAGGGCTTTGTGCTGTCAGTCATATGAGAGGATGCCAAAGATCCTGTCTCCACTCCTTCTTGCATTACTTCTCCAGTGGTAAATGAGAAACCCTGATTTTCTGAAGCTAGTTGTACATTTTCATGTTGCTGCTCTTTACTAAGGAAACGTGATGGCTCTGGGCCTTCTGAGTCTCTTTGTACAGTTTCCTGTTCTGTTTCTCCCTGGGAATATGGTGAATCTCCTTGTTCCAACATTGGTTGCAGTATTTCCTGTTGTTCTGTTTTGCCAGTGGAATATGATGTCTCTGGCTGTTCTGCCTTCAGCTGTGAGGTTTTATGTCGCTGTTCTTTTCCAGTAGAATGTGACAACACTAGGTGCTCTGAGTGCAGCTGAGCAGTTTCTCCTTGCACTCCCTTGGCACAGGAAAACAACTTACCTCTAGGCTGTGAATCCTGCTGTACTGGCTGCAGCTGTTCTCCTTTATCACCAAAATATGATGCACGAGAATTGTCCAAATCTGCTTCTGCCAGTTCTTGCTGCTTTGATTTGTTCATGGGATATGGTAAATCCAAATGTGTTGTATCCATATACCCAGTTTTCTGTGTCTCAGCTTTTCTGGTGGAATCAAATATATCTGGATGTACCAGCTGGATTTCTGTAGTGTTTTCTTTCTCTGCTTCTCCCATCAAACATGATAAATCTGAAGATACCTGTGCGAGCTGTGCTGATTCTTCTTGCTCTGCTTCTTCAAGTGAATAAGCCTCTGGCTGTTCCAGTTCAAAAGGAACAGATTTTTCTTTTTCTGTTTCTCCCCCAGAAAATAAAAACTCCTGGTGTTTCATTTCTATATGTGCACTTTCTGATTTTTCCACTTCTTCCCTGGAAAAAGAAAAGTCTGGATGATCCATCTCTACCTGTGCATTCTCCAATTCTTCCATTTCTTCTCTAGAATATGGGAAATCTGGGTGCCCCATCTTCAATTGTCCGCTTTCTGATTCTGCAATTTCTTTGCTGGAATATGAAAAATCTGAGTGTTCTGTCTCCAGCTGTACCTTTTCCAAATCCTCTATTTCTTCCCTGGAAAAAGAGAAGTCTGGACGCTCCATCTCCAGCTGTGAACTCTCTGATTCCACTGTTTCTTCTCTGGAATATGAGAAATCTGGGTGCTCTGTCTCGAGTTGTGTACTTTCCGACTTCTCCATTTCTTCCCTGGAAAAAGAAAAGTCTGGATGCTCCACCTCCATCTGCACACTCTCCAATTCTGCTGTTTCCTTCTTGGGAAAAGAGAAGTCTGGATGTTCTGTCTCCATCTGTGTTCTCTCTGATTCCCCAGTTTTTTTGCTGAAATATGAGAAATCTGGATGCTTCATCTCCATTTGCACATTCTCTGCTTGTTTGGTTTTTTCAGTGGAAAAATCAGGGCGATCCAAATCTAATGCTTTATTTATAGCTGGAGTTTTCTGAGTTTCTTCTGTTTCTGTGTGAACAGGATATGAAATGCCAAAATATTTAGAATCTATCTTTTCAGGAATAGGTGGTTTTAGTTTGATTCTTTCCTCCTCTGTTTTCTGAAGAGAGGATAAAAAGTCTTGCTCAGACTTCATCTGCTTCTCTATGTGGACATTTTGGGTTTCCAGTGGTGGGATCTTTCGATCCTCTTTCTTTTTAGCAGAATACAGTAGACCTGAAGGCTTTGTTTCTGACAGTGCAGTTGTTGCTGAAGGATACTCAGTTTCTTTCTTCTCTGTTTCATCTTCAGAATGTGGTAATAACCCTTGTTCAGGCTCAGATTGTGCAGTTTCTGGTGACTGATGAATAACATCCTCCTGTCTTGTTTCAGATAGAGTGGAATATTTGGATTTAGCTGATGGAGTACTAGGTAAGTGAGACTCAGCTGCTGACTTCTGTGCTTCCCACTCAGGATGGTCTGACACAGATGCTGCAGGCAAAATATGCTGAGTACTTTGCCTATCTAATTCATCCACAGAATTGTCTGAAACAGACTGTGGTGCAGAACTGGGCTGAAGTTCCTCCAGATGATCTGGTTCATCCAGATGATCTGATGATTTTAGCAGGGATTGGTCTGGTTTCTTGTTCACATTTTCAGCTGAGGGAAGAGGCACTTGTTTCTCTGATTTATCATCAGGCTGTAATGAAATGGAAGTTGTTTGCTGTGGTATTTTGGCCACAGGTGAATGATCTTGCGGCTTCCTGGCTTCTTCAGGAGGGCAGGACTTCAGCAAGTCTCTCTCTCCAGACTTGTGTGAGTCTCTTCTTTCTTCATGTTGAAGAGTTTTTTGTCCACCAAAGCTTGAAAATCTGCTTGGTTTATCTTTCGTTTCAGTGGGTTTAATATTTTCAGGTGAAATATCATCTTTAGCAGTAAGCCGCTTTTCAAGAGGCATTGTTGGTGAAGAATAGCTTTGATTTGCACGTGCTGTGGGTTGTTGTCTTTGCTCCCTTCTTCTCTCCGATGGTGTTTCAAGATTTCTGCTTCTTATTCTCTGAAAAGGTTTAAGATGTTTTGCTTCTGAAAATGAACGGAACTTCTGCAATCTTTCTTTTACTGATGTTTCAAGGAACTGTTCAGAATCTCCTGAAACCGAGCTGCTTCTCTGGATCCTGGTTTTCTCCAATGCCTCAGTGTCTGGCGCAGTCCCTCCAAAAATTGAGTTGAACAGCTGGATTCTAGCTTGTACTGGCCCTCCAAGGATTGGCCCTACTTTCCTCAGTCTATTCTCTCTAAATATTGATCTTATTGGAGCACGTTTTACCGGCTCTTCTACGACGTCCTCTGCATCTTCTTTGCCATCCATTTCCTCATCTGTATCTTGTGCTTCCACCTGCTCAACATTCAGCACTGAGGCCTGTACATCTCCTAGAACAGTTCTTGGTTCTTGCCTCTGCACTCCAGAAGAGTCACGTTTTTTATTGCCCTGGCCTCCTTTCAGGCTCATAGCTATTGGCGCCCTATTTGAAGGTTTGTGCTTCCTTTTCCGGACAATCTTACCTTCATCCATAATAAAGATAACTTTTCCTGGAGGGGAACCTACGGGTGAACTTTCCATGCTGTAAAGATCAGAAGTTGTACTAGTTTCTGAGGCCCAGGGAGTAGAACACCTGCTCGAGCTGGTTTCCCAGGTTATCCCGCTGTCTTCACTTTGAACTGTTACCATAGAAAAGGAAGGGTTAGTCATGATGTACTGCAGCTTGGGTTTCACATCTTCGCTTTGGATAACATCTTTTAAACTAAAACCAAAAAGAACAAAAGAGAAAAACAAAGCTGTAAAAACACACAACAAATTAAATTACTGCAGTAAACAAATACTTTTTGAAAATGTAAAATACTTCATGTGCATAAATTTTGAAACACAAGCATAAGCAAAGTCATATTTCCTTTGACAAATGTATTTTAGACAAATTTTTGTAAAGCTGCTTGTTGGAAGGTTAATTCAATGAAGGGGAGGTGTTTAAATCTCTCGACAATGCAGGAAAAGCAGTCTTTCACATGACCTTGTTTTGCCAAAGTGAGATTGAACTGATTCTGGGACTATTCTCCAGTGCGTGGTTATCTCACAGTATAATTTAAACTTTGCATTAAACACTTACAAGATACTGTCAATGTTTTAATAGCACCCACACTTGCTTTGCCAAAGTGTAAATGGTTCTACAATGCTCAAAGGAGTTGAGAATCTATCCTCTAGATATCCTAGGGTTTCATCCTCTAAGCACTCTACATATTTAAGTAATTTGAAATATATTCAACAAGAAAAGTATACCGAGCCCTCCCCAAAATAAATTAACAATGTTTTATAGACCTAATTCTAGATATTATGATAAATAATCAATTCACTATCACATGCTGCAATCAAACATCTCTCACTTAAAAAAGGCAAGAGAAATATTTTCAGGGAACCTAGAAAAAAACAGTCTTGGAAATAAGAGCTTAAAGAATACTAAAAGCAATTAAAAGACATAATACTATGCTATTTTAAAATTTAATTTAAGGTTGCAATAGTTACGACAAAAAAGCATAGAAAAGGTAATCAGAACACTCAGCCCTAGTATTTCTTGAGTAGACAGTAGTTTATTTCCGGAAATCATATTAGTATCTGATGGAACAAAAGGCAGAGTATCTGCTGACAAAGGCAGAGGCTTCAGTATAGCAAGTGGTGAAGTCTGTTGATCCCATAAAACAGTGTAAACCTGTGGCCACACGACATCCTACTTCCACTGAACCGGGAAAGGGTCACTTTCCACCTAATTTGGGTAAAGCACTCTTCAGCAAGGCTGAAGAATTCTGGCTCCTGACCATGTGCTCAGAGAAGCAGAACCTGCCTGACCAACTGCCACAGGCTGCGACCCAGCACCACGCAGGCGCCAGAGATTCCTGCAGGCTGCAGAGGCAGGAGACACCCCTGAGGAGCAGTCAGCACAGCTCTGGAAGGCACAAAGCACCTGGCAGAAGGCAGATGTCTTTGAAGGAGGAGAAGAGGGAACCCTGAGGAAAGCCGTAATCACTTCATCAAGCAAACTCTGCAAAGCTCTTGTGAAGGGCACTCAGCAAAACTGCTCAGTATTGATTGTAAACAGAAAGATAATCCTGACACTGAGACTGCTGGCGTTATCTTCCCATGGATTTGTCCTGATGTCCTCAGGACTAACTGAAGACTGAGGTCACCCTGTGGGACAGAAGCCTGACCAGGCAGTCATATTATCTTCTAGTGATGGAGTTTAAAGCCAACTGTGGTGACTGGGCTGGCCTGGAGACCATGAACAGCAAGACAGCTTGGACTAAAGCCCACAGTTCAAAGATATTCTGACAGTACAATATTAAATAATCACATCTTAGCCAAGCAAAGCACACAAAACCAATCAACCCTTAAACAAATACAAACCCCAGAGCGTACAGTGGATTATCTACCTTGGTGCAGTACTCTCTCTCAAGGCTAGCTCCATAAGGTAAAATGTACAGGTTAGAGGAAGAGGCAAGGCAAAGACATCTATACCAATTTTGCTGCTAGCTTTTCCTTTGCCAGAGTCATGACTTGGTGTTAGATTGTCTGAAGCATAATAAAATAAAAATCGAATAAGTAAAATAAAGCAGTACTAAGGAAGCTTTCAGGTCTTACTTAAAGCTATTTTTCTGCACTACCTGGTGTTACTAAATAAAACCCCACACAGAACAGAGCAGCACTCCCGCTTCAGCTAATAGTGAGTAAGAATGTGCTGCCCTGGCCCTGCCTATGCAAAAAAGCTTGAAATACTCACAACATTATCTCATTTTCAATGTTGCAGTCACAATCCATATTCCTCCACACTGAACGGGATGCTGCTTTATATCTTCAAGGCCAGAAGGAAAGACACGTAAATTAAACATTTCCCTGCTATATACTTTCAAATGGTGCCCTACTTTTATACACAATCTGCATGTTGCACAGTAGTAGCTGAAAGACCCCTCTCTAGTCAGCGAGGTGTCTGCCATTGCCATGTTTCAGATCCATAGATGCAGATACGAAGCCGCTGGCATCCAGGGACAAGAGCCAGTGCTACCTGTTTTCCAAGCAGACAGTTCACATCCAGTGCTGCCGGCACATGTGCTGTCAGCTTGTTCACTGCTGCTAGGGCACTGGAGCAAACCTTTGATTAATTCTTGGAGACACTGACAACTGGTTCTTTGCTTCTTGTCTTAAAGGCTCAGAACCCGATTTTTCTTACCACCTCCCCTGCTTCTCGCAGGTCTCTGCTTCTCACTATGACTTCTGCGCCGTGTCCATGGGGATTACAGGTTTCTAGTCTGGACTGGCAGGCTGGGCACATGACCCCTTATGTATTGTACCAGAGAGGAGTTGTCACCTCCCCATCTGCCGGGGCAGCCACATTCAGATGTGCTGAGGTCTGTCCATCTGTGCTACACCACCACTGCCCGCAAGAGGCACCGCACGCCACCGGCTTTCTAAAGTCCCCCCAAGCCTCCCTTTGCTCTCTGCACATTGGACCTCGTCACTCCTGCTGCCACCAAAACTTGATGCTGCTTGCTCCTTGAAAGCTGAAAACAACCCCGATAAAATGACCAACATGCCAAGCTGTGGCAGTGGCCTGCAACGGCAAATCTCTCATTCCCTGAAGGCTCCTACTTCACCCCTGTTGGCACAGTGCAGGGGGGTGGACACCGGTATTGGCCAGCTTGCCTTCCCAGCTGAAGGAAATACTTGTTTTTCTGTGTTTGTGGTTCTGTAAATTCCTGCAGCTTCTGCCTTTACCATTCTGCTCCTTTCCCCCAACATCAATCAATATGCTCAGCGAGGTCTCTGCCTATTGCTCTGCGTTTTCTAGTGCTACAGCTTGTCCATCTTCTTCTTCAGGGTAAGAGAACAGGAAGCTAGTCACTGTTTTAAACTCAGCCCTTCATTTGTTAGCCTACTGCTACCTTCCTTCTGTGTGCTCCTTCTGATGCTTCTTCTGACTCCTTCTGATGCTCCTTCTGGCATCTGTCCAAGTTCAAATGAACGATTACCTAAAAGCAGTTAAGAGAGCTGCTCACTTTGATATGAAGTTGATTTTTATTAAGAGCAGCTGGGATCCAGGAGCTGGGCCTCTCTCACACACTTTGTTCCACGCCTGACCCTTGTAAATGTCTGGGAAGGAACATTTGCTGGGGCGCTGGTCTCTTCAAGACATCAGATCATGGCATGGCCCAGTGGCATTGCTGGTTGCAACGTCAGATGTTGCTTGAGACCCCACAGCACCTCCGTGCCCCAGAGGTCTGCCTTGCTCCTGCATTCTCGATTTTCCACCATACAGGCTGTGGAGGGAGCACAGGTATTGAACAGACACTTAGGTCTGGGTGCAAGACTTCCTTTACACTGTAATTTAGTCACTTCGAGATGTTACAGGGAACTCCTTGAAGTGTGTGATTTCAGACCCAAACTGCAAGGTAGACCTCTATCAAGGACTCAGTTAATATCATCTAAAAGGCTGCTGAGACACAAGACATAGAGGTCCCGGTCACCAGTGCCAGCAGGGCCTGGGATGTGTGGTGGGGTGGCCAGCTGCTGCAAACCCATCTTGACATTCCACCACATCCAGCTGCTCCCTGTGCCCTTCTGCTGGAGCCTCTGCCCCACCATGCTGGAGACAGCACTCACAGGGCAAAGGGAAGCTTCCACTTCCCTCTGCTCTTGCATTCCCTGCACCAGTACTTGCAGCCTTCCTCCCAGCCCAAGGCTGCCGCATCCCATCTAGGAAACTTAAACCCACACATCCCCTTTCCTTGCATCCTTCTCTGCTGTGGGGAGGGTATGGAAAACTTTTCCTAGGGAAGACAAATCCCCAGCACTCGCCTTCTCACCATCCCATCTGCTATCATCCTATCCCTTCGCTCTCCTGGGTGCTGCAGCATCTCCCATGTGGCTGGCAGTCCCCTTCACTGTGCTTGCCCTCTCATCCATTTCATCTAGAGCTAAGCTAGACTTAGCTGTAAAGCTTCCATACCTATGATCTTCTTGTGAAAGTACTGCTTCAATAAACAAAAATAAAGATTATGATGATGATAACAATAATACAGAACCCCAGGATTTTCTCCCCATTTACTGGCCCTAGGTCATCATGAAATGAGTCCCATACCCATTCCAGGTAAACCAGCTTCCTGGAAACACATATAAATTGGCTGCAGAGTCATTTTTACATAAGCCCTGCACACACACACATCCAGAGACCTTCCCACTGCAAAACAAAATCATTTGGGAGCTCTCTGAGGGACAGAACTGTGTCAGATCATCTCAACCATCAGTTAGAGACACAGATATTCCAGTGGGTATGCAAACCAGTTAACCAGCAAACTATTTCCGTATAGCTAGGCTTAATTCTCATGTCTATGAATATAAAAATTAAAACCTATTAACTTCATATTCATGTTTACCTTAAAACACACAATACATACTTTCAAAATATTTTCCCTGTTTAGATAATCCATTCCATGTGGACCTAGAAACAAAAGGCACCTGCCACAATCCTTCTCAGGCAGTAAAACAACCAAAGGCAGGACAATATTGCATGAACCCTCTGAAGACCAGTGAGCGATTTATGCGGACAAGGATATGATGCCTTATCACATCTTTATAATAGGTTCTTATGCTGCATGTCAGTCTCATTACTTGCATAAAAACCTGTGTTGGGAAACCAAATTATTTAAAAATTACGCCAAAAAGGGTAAGAAAGACGTGAAACCAAAACTCTTCTGCTTTTTACATGCATGCATCATAATCTGGGGGGAAGTCATAAACTCGGACGCAGCTTTACTCCCCGTGCTGCTGCAGAGGGACTGGTGTGGAAGCAGAGTGAGTTGGTCAGGGCTTGTTGGTGTCCCAGAGGAACAACAGGGCTCTTTTGCTTCTTTCACACCAGCACTTGCTGACCTTGGGTGAGCCATCTTGCTGCATAACTCTCTTATAAAATTGGTATGAGGCTATTTAGCATGCTTGAAAGGTGGAGATAGGAGCCAACGGGGAATTTTCCCACTCACTGCAATGTTGCACAACCAGGTACTGCTCAACTGCGCGCAGAGGAGAGAGACAAAAGCAGCAGAGACCTTGGGGTTGTTAAAAATAAATCGGTGACCGCAGAGTCCAGGACAGGCTGTCTTCAGCCAAGTTTGCATATTGGCCACACCTCCCCTAAACTGCGTTTTCAAAGCACACACGCAGACACAGAGGTCTGCTCTGCAGCAGTGGCTTGCAACCCTGTTTGTCAACAAATAATTAGCTTCCAGCCTGAGTATGTCCCAGGGGCTCAGACCAGCTGCTCTTGGTTAGCCAACACCTCCCAGGAGCCCTGCCCAGGCGCTCGGCACAGGAGAAGTCCTTAATCTCAACAACCGCCTGACATTTGCAACAACAAGATTTAAGCAGTTGAAGGGTTGTTTTTATTTCACCTCACTGAGACACTGCTGAGCGCCCGGTGCAGTCACCATATCTGCGCCAAACCCAAACTTTACACTGCCTTTAACCTAATTAAACTATTCAAATGGATTTAAAGTTACTACTGAGCACAGCTGTTAAAAACCTCTCTGGTAGACTCTGACCTCTCTTATTAGTAAGTTAGTTAAGGATAGACATAAACTCTGCAGTGATTAATATAACAGAGCTAAAGGGAATGGTTGCTGTTTTAATTAAGCAGTGAGATGTAGTGCCTGGGTTTGCACTGTGCAGGCTGATAGCCAGCAGCAAGACCCAGCTGCAGGGAGCTGTTAACAGACACCCATGGAGAAGCTGTCCTAGCACGAGCAGTAAATAACTGTGAGGCTCTGTAGATTTCCCTCTCTTTAAGGGGAAAGTCAGCTGCTCCCACTCATGTTTTACAGTTTGAGTTTTATTATTCACATTTAATTGCAGAGTCCACACAGTTGTGTTTTAGCTGCCTCCAGCCAGTAGCTCCACTCCAGCATCTTCAACGGGTTTTCTCATAGAGTTGCACCCATGCTCAAGCAGTGTTTTTCAGTACATCACCCATCTCTCTGCCAGGAGGTGACTGAAGAGAGAGCATACACCCCTGGAGAAATGCAGAATTACATACTGGGGGTGTGCAGTGTTTTCCCTGGAAAACCAGCTCTCTATTCCCTCTGCCAAGGAGGTTTTCCTACTTTGCTTGGCTGTGTTTCCCTGTTTGGCTTTCATTCCCACAGCACCTGCGGTGGGTTAGGCTGTGCAGAGACCCCACCCCTTTCTCTTGCCATCTTTTTTCTCCCAGTAACTTACAGTAATGTCAGAAAGTGCTTTGAACTGATACACCAAGAGTGGTTTGTAAATGCAGGACAGCTCCACAGCAGTGAGGTTTTAGGCACTGTATGACCCAAATCTCTCTCTCAAAAGAAGAGTTTCTTTAGATACCTAAGCCTCACAACAGTAATGTCTTTGGTCCTGCCTACAGCATCTACCCAAACCCAATAGGCTGTACTCAAGATGAGAGCAGATCTTGCAATCCGACAAGTGCCGGGGCACTCTCAGGCCTCATGGTCTCTCTCTGAACCCAACAGCGCTGGCAGAGCCAGAGGGCTCTGTCTGTGTGGATCAGGTTGCAGATGGTTCCTGTTCTGCGCAGGACCAGGGCCATGCGCTGGGTGGCCAGCTACAGCCTCACTTGTTATTTTCCTGGTGGTAGGACCACAGAACTAGGACAACAAACTGTCCTGTGCAAGATTTAAGGGGAAAAAAGGAAGTAAAAAAGTAAAATGGTAAAATATTTCTATTTCACTGTAAAAATCAGTCACACAAATTGTAACCAGCAGTGGAAAGAGACATACAGAAGGTTTTTCCTTTTCTGGGAGGAAGAGACTTAGGAGGGAGGGACAAATGGGAAGGAAGAATGGGTGTCAAAAGGAAAAGAATTCAATGCACATTGTAATCTTCAACCATTTTCTCCCTGACAAGCTAATCTGCAGAGCATTTAAGATTGATATGTGACAAACAGTCAGCCAGAGAGGGAGGAGTAGAGGGAAATGCCACTTTAGCTGGCACGCCAGAGGATCTTTAAATAGAAAAGCCTGTAGGGAACTCAGGGCAGGCACTTATTGCACAAACTCAGTTACGGCCGCAGACAACCAAAAAAACCCCAATTAACAGACAGCCCCTTCTCCTCCAGAATCCCCACAGCAGTTGGGGAAGAGGACAGGGAAAGGCATTACAACCAGCACTGCGCCCCAGTCGTGGCATCTCCCTGGGCTCGTACTTTGGGGTGCAACTGCCAGCTCGCCCCAAGGCTGCGAGTCCCTGGGGAGGCAGTACCTGTTAGTCAGCTCCTCAGCTTCCTCTGGGTCCACGGATTCTTCCTCCTCCTCCTCCTCTTCTTCTTCTTCTTCTTCCTCCTCCTCCTCTTCTTCTCCCTCTTCTTCATCCCCTATGAAGGAGGAGGTCTCAGATGCCCTGTCGCACTCGGCACTGCGGTTCCGCTCCATATCCTTCCCAGCTCAGGCCCTTGCCGGTGATTTTTACCCTCGACCCTGTCCTCCCCAGGGTTGCCTGAAGCAACTGTCATCCCCAGCAGCTCTCGCTTCTCCTGACTCAGGGCAGTCTTTAAATAGAAGGCAGCGAAGTTACAGCGCCGAGTCGCTGCTGATCCTACCCTGGGTCCTAGCACCAACCGGGTGCCAGGACACGTGGCAAAACCTGATGTCCATCGATCTGGCTGCTCACCCCCTTCACCTGCCCTGCGCTGCCACTGCGGTTGTGTTACAGCACAGACGGGGCAGCCGGGCAGCGGCAGGGAGGAAGGGGACCCGTCAGACCTTCCCATGCCACCTCTAGCAAACCGGAGGGGGATGGTACAGATGAAGCAGAAGGGCAGTTCTCGTGGTTGCAAGAAAAAGTGCATTTAGCACATTTAAAAACAAGTTCCATCCATGAACACACACAGAGTACCTCAGATTTGAGCTAGAGGGGTCAAATATGATTTCATAATTGTAATTACTAGGGGATAAGCCTAGGACACATACCTTTAATGATACCATACTGTAAGAGGTATCAGATGCACTGTACTTTTTAACAACACATGGAATATATCTGTACCCAAATAGTTGTTGATGTGCTAAAACTCAGAACATTTCAAATGTCTTCTTTGAGTGTATTTGAGCTCATTTTAATTTAAAGCAAATACAAACTACATTACCATGTAGGGTTTAGGCTAAGCCATATTTACACTTTATTCCACACAAAATGCACTGCTTTTCATTGATAAAATGGAAACATTTCCAACCTGTACTAGCTAAAGTAATGAGGGTTTTTTTTTAATTATTTTTTAGAAAAGGAGTAGAGCCAGCAAAACTCTGATTCTAAATAAAGAACTTCTAAGCTATTTCAGGTATGAAATATTGTAAACACAGTATACCTCTAATATAACACCTCCCCCCCCCTTTTTTTTTAATTCTTCAAATAAATAGCTGGTTATAAATCAGTCGAACTCTTCCAAGTGTCTATGGGAGTACAAGTACAGAAACAGCCAAGCAGGTATTTCTGAGTACAAACTCTCTCTGCAATGCTAAATAAAAATCTATGGACAGATTCGTTGAGGTAAAATATTTCCTAACAATGATTACAGAAAAAAACCTGCTTGCTCTCTTTTCCTACCCACTGAGGTACACAGTTCATGAAGTCAGAACGTAACTTCTCAAAGAAGTGTACTTAGCTTCTATGATGGGGCTACAAACTGATAAGACAGTGGTAGAGCAGTTGAAGTCATCTACCTGGACTTGTGCAAAGCTTTCAACACTGTCCTGCATAACATCCTTGTCTCTAAATTGGAGACACATCAATTTGGTAGGTGAACCACTTGGTGGATAAAGAACTGGCTGAATGTCTGCACGCAGAGTTGTGGTCAATGGCTCAATGTCCAGCTGGAGATCAGGAATGGGTGGTGTCCCTCAGGGATCAGTGTTGGGACCAGCCTTGTTCAACATCTTTGTCGGTGACATGTACAGTGGGACTGAGTGCACCCTCAGCAAGTTTGCCGATGACACCAAGCTGTGTGGTTCTGTTGATAGCTGGAGGGAAGGAATGCCATCCAGAGGGACCTTGACACGCTTGTGAAGTGGGCTGATGCCAACCTCATTAAGTTTAACGATGCCAAGTGCAAGGTCCTACACCTGGATTGGAGCAATCCCAGGCACAGCTACAGGTTGGGCAGAGAATAGATTCAGAGCAGCCCTGCGGAGAAGGACTTGGGGGTGCTGGTCGATGAGAAAATGAACCTGAGCCAGCTGCAGTGTGTGCTTGCAGCCCAGAAAGCCAACCTGCATCAAAAGGAGCGTGACCAGCAGGTCAAAGGAGGGGATCCTGCCCCTCTGCTCTGCTCTTGTGAGACCTCACTTGGAGTATTGTGTGCAGTTCTGGTGTCCTCAACATAAAAAGGACACGGAACTGTTCCAAGTCCAGAGGAGGGCCTCGAGGATGATCAGGGGACTGAAGCACCTCCCATATGAAGACAGGCTGAGAAAGTTGGAGATGTTCAGCCGGGAGAGGCTGTGTGGAGACCTCATAGCAGCCTTCCAGTATCTGAAGGGGGCCTGTAGAGATGCTGGAGAGGTACTCTTCATTAGGACTGTAGTGATAGTTCAAGGGGTAACGGGTTAAACTTAAGCAGGGGAAGTTTAGATTGAATATAAAGAAGTTCTTTACTGTGAGGGTGGTTAGGCACTGGAATGGGTTGCCCAGGGAAGCTGTGAATGCTCCATCCCTGACAGTGTTCAAGGTCAGGTTGGACAGCCTTGGGTGGCATTGTTTAGTGTGAGGTGTCCCTGCCCATAGTAGGGGGGTTGGAACTTAAGGTCCTTTCCAACCCTAACTATTCTATGATTCTACTTGAAGCAGATACTAACTTAAACTCTGTATTTTATCATGAGCACAGAGACAGTGTAGACAGCATAATGAAAATTAATGTAGAGGGCTTCACATTCTTTATACATGAAAGACGAGCATTACAATGTTCTACAAAGCCTAGGTTGGCCGGGGCTTTCAGCAACCTGGTCTAGTGGAAGGTGTCTTCAGCACAACAAGAGGAATGTGAGTATACTTTCACCAGAATAAATGATGTCTAGACCTAGTGCCTTCCCTTCTATACTTTTCATAATTTAGTATGACCCATCAGTTGACCAAAATAGTGTGTTATTTCATACTCTTCCTACAAACATTATACTCTTAAAATCAACTAGAGAAAGATTTATATCAAAACACACAAGAATTAGAGAAAACAAGACAAACTTAACAAAAATAAACACTACAAAATCCTTAAGACAATTCAGAGCCAGTACAGGCGATTAAATCCAGAGTGACATTCTGCAATGGAATAAATTTTAACACCAAGTATACTATGAATAGAACCCAGTGACCCGTTCAAGTAAAGCATTGGTTTGAAATAAGCATTTGGGACAGTATTGACAAATGCTAACTCCAGATTATCTACAAATCATCTTACATCCTTTTACCATGGGTGCCTATTTCTCCCTAACAACCATGTCAGCCCATAATTTGAGCCTTGAAATTGGTTTGTATTGAATTCTTCACAAAGGAATTCTTAAAAATAATCTCCCATACTCTCAGAATACCTTAAGGTACAGAGAGTACACTTACAAAATCACATTTAGAAGAAGTGAAAGCAAAAGGTCTAGAAGAAAAACTTCCAAGTTTCAGAGTATATGACTTATGACAGTTCTGGTACTAGTGTTACTGAATGGGAATAGCTCTTGCTAATGATTAGTCCTCCCATACACCTCTGACCCTGTTACTTAAAAGCACTGCTAGAGAACTAAAGATTGTTCCTGCAATCCTAGATGAGAATGTAGTAGTTTATGACATTATATAAAGCGAGAAATGATAGGCAAACCCAATGCCAAAATGAGCAGTCAAATCTAATCCTAAAATAATGAAGCTGAAGAAAAGCATTTTTATTTCAAAGCAGTAAGAAGCCTCAAAGAAGTTTCTGTGTCCCTGCCCATGGCAGGAGTGTGGAATTAGATGGTCTTTAAGATCCCTTCCAACCCAAACCATTCTAAGTTAGCATCTTGCACACATGCTGAAATCTTGGTCAGTCATGAAAAATACCTTTTACCAAAGGTCTCTTAGAGAAAAAAATATTCTTGCTAGTGTGCATGCCAAGGGATAGGTGTGTGAATGCCTTTATTTTGAAGCTGAGAAGGGAAAACTTCACACTAATACTAAGATTAATGACAGCCATTAGTGGATTTCTTGCTCTGGATGTGGGCCCAGAGTAGATGAAAATCCAGGTCATTAAATCTCCGAACAACTTCAGAATATACAAAACTGAATCCAAAGTTAGTTAAAGTTCAGCTCCTACTCATTTCCTCAAAACCATTTATTTTGTGGTATTTTATTTGAATTGCTCTGACAAAAGTTGCAGCCTACCATTTAACAAATATTACGTTCACCCACAGAAAGTTGTGCTGCTCTAGTTTGCCTTGACAGGAAAACAATACAATGCACTATCTGGTGAGGTTTATTTTCCAGAACTCTCAGATTTTTTAATAACATGCAACAGCACTGCCACTTTCTGTCCTCCCGCCACTAGCCTCTTTCTCTATAACCTAAACCACCTTGTACCTTGCTTAGGTAACACAGTAAATTACCAGGGAGTTTCCCGTTATTAAGAGAGGATGCAGCAAACAGACTTGACCCTAAACAAGTAGGGAAAACTACACCTAGACTTTATATTTCTAATTGTTGATGTAGCTTACCAGAAGTTCACAAACTTGAGGGAAAAAAAAAACAACACAAAAGGAGTGCTTTGAAAGACACAGGACACCTTGGTTACAGACCACGACTGTATTGAAAAGATCACTCAGCTGGTGTGTCAATTTTTATGGAGTTGCACAGAGGTACTGCAATCTTTTCAACTGTCCATTTTAAGTTAGGAAGAAACAGTTTCAAAGATAAATAATTCAAGGTGTGAGATACTCACACATTAGGTGATGCAATGCAAACTCGTAAGACAGACATGCTTCAAATTTGGTGCTGCATGTCCAGCTCACCTGAAATACACTTTTGGCAAGTTTGGACATGTATGTCCCTTCTTAGTTAGCCTGCATTGGTAGTTTTAAGTTTTCTAGACAGCTAGCCAGCATCTTTTTAAAAACAGGGCAGCTTTCCCTCTCCCCAGAAGCCACCTATGGCTTGTAGAGCACCTCTGAATCCAGACATCATGCTGTAGTAAAACCTTGTGCTTCCATTTTACATAAAGCAGATAGAAGTGAATGTTTCACAGAGACCAATTCTACCAACCTATACAGAGGAAGGGCAGTTAGGGGAAACTGTCACATGGAGGGAAAACATTTTATTGGGGTGCTAGAGTCAGATTAAAACTGAAAGACTGTTTAAATTCCAGAAGGAAGCTCATTTAAGAAGCCAAAATCTTACCTAGACTAGATCATGACGAAGTATGTAGTAAGTAACCTCACAGCAGGAAAATAGTTTACAATTTCTAGACCTAAATTGTAAAACTTTAAATAAATTAAACTTTTAAGAGTTTGCACAAGATAGTGTTTGCCATTTTACAGAGTTATAAGGGTTTTCACAATCT